TTGCTTTCCTATCTGTTCATTTTATGAAAATCATTTATAATACATTTATTGTATTAAAATTGCCCGTTTTTTTTTCTATTTAATTTTTATCGTGATACAAAATCATCTAATTAGCGGGTGCAGAGAAGAGAAGTAACTAGTGGCACTTCTTTTTGTAGAATGTGCATAGAATATTGTTAATAACACAATTGTAAATATTTTATCCAAGATTTTTTCATACCTTCATCTATTGTCTGGCAAAAAGCTTATCATGCACCAATAGTTGTTTAGCAAGATTCTTCCATCAATATTTGTCGAAGAGTATATACTTCTGAACACAGTCCGGCAGAAAAAAAATCTATCTGGATTGAAGGATGTTGAATATAATGGTTAATTAATGAGGAAATGAGGAATTTAATCGTGTAGAATAGCTATGTAGATACGATTAGAAGAAACAGACCTATAAGTACAAAGTCCGAAGGAGTAGTAGTCTGTTTCAAAACTGTTTAACTTAACATGACCGTATCGAGAACGTAGGTCACAGTTTTTTAAAAACGTATTTACACATTTCAGTTTTGAAAGATGAATAATCAAATGTTCTTGGGAAAATATTTATATTTGTTTATCTTATTTAATTCTGATAAAACTCTGAGGCTCTAAAGCCCACAATTGTATTATTGTGTATTATTCTAAAGGGACTTGTCCCAGTATAAATAAGGCATGTTATTATTTAAAAAAAAAATTATATTGAAAGTAGATTAACAACTTCTTTTTATGAAACAGAAATGAAATTAAAACGTACATGGATGGGAAAGGTATTGGCTTCAGGTTCAGGATAAGCGATATTACTTAAACAATAAAGCAGGATGTTTTAATATATATGTATGTGTATACATTTTTTTTTCCTGACCTCCCCAGAAATTTTATTTATTAAATCAACAACAAAACAAAATACAATATGTAAATATAAATATATATACAATATTTTACAAAGCTTCCTTTCTTTGTCCAGAGGCCTTTTATGGTAAAAAGGACTGAATATGAGGTAAGGATATGTCAAATTCTGTGGCCTTTGGCCTTAATTTCTTCACTGGGCGTGGAGGGACATCTTTCTTCGTCAAGGACATCTACCAGGGGGACTTTTCATTGCCACCTCCCAGGTCTGGGTGGTGGGGCGATTCCCGAGTGGATTTGCAGGCCTTCAGCCCATCAAAAAATTTGATGTGCCTCAGAGAGCTGCGACTAATTCAGTATGAGGTAGAGCCTATGTGATTTTTGCCTTACCAGCTTGAGTATCTGCCTGACGCGGCTGGTAAAGGTGAGGTACCTGCCTAGTGTCACGCCGAGGTAGACTACTGAGGTGGAGATTGGCCGGTTCAATCCACCGATGGTGAAGTGCGTGGGCAGGGGCTTCTTTCCTTGCTGGAACGCCAATACGATAGCATCAGCCTTTGCGGGGTTCACTCTTATACCATTTTTCTCTAGCTCTCCAACGATAACATCAGTGACGTTCTTTGCATGCTTGAGGGCTCTCTTTGCGTTGGAACTCGATTCATAGACTGCGATGTCGTCAGCATATTCTGCTACCACTATGTCTGTATGCTTGAATGACACTACTAGCGCCGTGAAAATGCCGAATACTATTGGCCCCAACACAGACTCTTCAGATACTCCACAGGTAGTATCGACTATATTCGTGCAAACTTTCTTTATCAATCGTTAGAACATAAACATCTTCCATCCCCACCTTTGAGTAACCTACAATTATTTTCATCGAGTTTCGCTGTAGTTTATCACAAATCCATTCGAGTTTATCGTAAAATTCGCATTTGGCTTCATCGTCACGTTCTTCGGTCGGATAATGTATGTTTATTAACGCGATTTTAAACCAACGTTCCTGAAATATAGCTACCGAAATTCTATCACTAAAGAATCGTACGTCCCTCAAAGCGGAAAGCAATCTATTCCTAATTAGAAACCCGGTACCTAAACAATGATTCCCACTTCCTCTGTACCAAATAGTGTAGTTTCCTTCCCTCATGGAGTCCTCCCCTGGCCAGCGTATCTCTTGCAGAGCCACGATATCCAAATTGTACCTATTAACCTCATTCGCGACCGATTTTAAACCACAAGCTGAATTCAAACTCCTTACGTTCTACATACCAATACCTAAATCCCTATTTTTCAACTTTCACCATGAATCCCCTAAAGCAGTCCCCACCCGGAGACTCGAACGGGGGACTAGTTTATCTGCGGATAATGAGCGTTTTGTCTTAGGGAGATTCATGACTATTTTTGGTGTAAGTTGAACAAAAGATATGTGAGTAGGGCGTTCAATCCTACGTCACACAATCCAGCAAGTCTGGAGGGTTCCCGCCTCCAGCAAGTGTGGAGGACCCCTCTTATTGTTGGTCAGCAAGTTTGAAGGGCCCTCTTATTGTTGGTCAGCAAGTCTGGAGGTCCCCTCTTATTGTTGGTCAGCGAGTCCATCGGACTTAGCCTGGACGAACATCCAATTTCCATCTGTTTTCCATTTCCATCCAATTTCCATGAATTTCCTCTGACCATCCCCACATCCGCCATCCGTGGGACGCTCCTCATACCCGGTAATGAGCCCACGCGAGGGGTACTTATACAAATGAGAATTTCCACAATGAAATTTAAATAAATATAGCGTTTATAATTTTTACTTTCAATTCCCCTTTGTCTGAAAATATTATAACTTTTAAAAGAATTTGAAAATCGAATAATGGAGAAAAAAGGAAAAATGTTTATTTAGATCAAACATGAATCTCCGAAAATAATAGCCATAAGATATACGTATATATCTTTGGGAAACAGACAATTTTAGAAAAAACAATATCTAACATAGAAAGTCCTAGAGGTTAATGGAGAGTTACAAAAAATTATAAATACTAATTTGTGAAAACTAATATAATTTAACAGAAATCACATGTTTCAAAGGAAATGAAATTTCCTAACATAATGCAAACTTAAAATTTTTTTTTTAAGTTTGAAAAAGTATTTAAAATCAAATGAATCAAGGTAATGGTATTGTTTAAAAGACTATTTCATTGTACTTGTGTGAACGAAGAAATAAAATATAAAAATATTTCATGCATATTTATAGCCTTAAATATATTTATTGTACGTAGGTAGGGTAGGAGTTTTAGGGCGATAAATTTATTTACTGTAGTTTAATAACTCTAGATCTGATATTATACTTAAATAATTAGGTATCTATCGTCCTGGGGTGCTCAGAAGGGGGTTTAATGGCGCAAGTCGCGCCATCAACATTTTTGAATAGTGCACATTTTGTCGGGATTCTGAATTTTTGAGGAGGCACTTTTCGACGAGGTTATGAATTTGTGGAATGGAAAGTTTCAAACAAGGGGCTATACGAAAACATACAACAGACCACATCGACTGTATTTGTATACGATCTACGATTTTTTAAATTCTTCTTCGTCAGCAGTGTTTTTTAGAAGAGGAGCATCATAAAAGGAGAGAAGAGATTCATGCGCCATTGATCTTGGAGGGAGAGGGGAAGGATGGGAACATTTGCTATCGTCCGTTTATTCCAAAAAATCATCATGTAACCTTTTAGAAAATTAAATTAGTGAATAATTGGATGAATTTTCCCTTTTTGGAATCCCAACATTATCCTCTTACAATTATTGTGACTACTTTTGACCTATCTATGGCAGGCAATGAAAATCATTTAATTTCATTTTAATAAAATTTACATTGGAAATTAACAGTTTAATTACTATAGTCGTACAATCCATTTTCATTTACAGGTTCAATATACAGGTGTACTTTCAATTCTCTCTAGGCATATATGAGGCTTTCAGTTGACAGAATGGCTAACTCCAACTTCAACATTTTTTATTAATAATTTTAGAGATATTTCTAGTGGGAAAATTTCTACCTCTATTCACATTTCTATGCTTCAACACAACAATCACTTACTCTGGAATCAACTTACTGTCTGTACAGATATTATAGATTTTCCAATTAGAAATATCATTAAAACTACATTATTGAAAAATGTTGAAATTGGAGTTAGTCATTCTATTAACTGAAAGTCACTCATAGCTCAGAGACTGGAGTTATGTGGTTTACAAAAACAGATGGAGTAAAGAGATTTTTAGTGCCTACCGTCGATATAATAAATAGGGTTTTTGTTATTTTAATGGTCTTAATGATTTGTTAGCTGAAAGCTTTAAGCTTTAGCTCCATTTAAAATGCACTTCAAAAATTGTATAACAGTCTAATATTGCCAATAAATAATTTCTATTCAAAGTAGAACCATGAGTGAATGTTGTGTGTTGCGCGCACCAATTTAAAAAAAAATTAAATTATGTTGTTTTCCCCGTTTATTTGTATTATCCTGGAAACAGAATATGCCACACCATATTAAAGTAAAATAAAATGCATTATGTTTTCTGTTCTGAAAGAATAAACGAATAAATTTCAGGTGAGTCTGATTATAAAATCAGACTCATCTGAAATTTATTCGTTGGTGGACATAAGTCCACCAGTGTAGTTGGGAGCAGTAAACCTACATTAAATGAATATTTTAATAAAAACCTTTGTAATAATAAAATTTAATTCTAAAGATGGTGTAATTGGAAGAATATATTTAAATGAAATAAGCTCACCATTTCTATTTTGGATGTTGACCATTAAAAATTGTTATAAATAGAAAAAAATACCAATGCAACAGTTCTGAGTTGTTTTTTTTAAAATGAAAATAACGTTTCCCAATATTAAACAAATCTAATTGTTAGGCTAATTTTATGTAGGATAATTATTAACTGTAGATTAAAATTGCCTACTTATTCAGTTTTCTTAAATATAACTGCTTTAAAATTAATTTTGGTATGACATTTACCATTCCTTTTAATTCAACAAGATTTGTTCTTATAAGGAGTAATTCAAACAAATTTGATATCCAATTGATATTTATTTTTTTAATGATTCGTGAATGGCTATCTAGGGGCTATTAATTAATTAGTCTCTTTTCTGACAATTGTATGATAGATATTTTTGCATGTTATATTTCATATTTTAAGTAATATTCAAATGAATCAAAAGTCATTGATATCTACATTTTTAATAATGGTAAATAAATGGAGATTGGATGACCTGGCGTTGAAGTTCATTCATGAGCCAAAGCATCAACAAGTGTCCCGCTCTTGGTAACAGTAGTATACAACCGGTACTAGATTAATATTTTGCGCCAAGAATTAGTGGTTAGGAGTGTTTGTTTATTTATTTCATTTTAATTTATTTGAATTGATATTTATCTGAAATATCTAATGTATATTATTAAATAAACTGCTGAAGCACTATTAAGAACATTATTTTATTTACATTTCTAAGTACTGAAGCTTCTTATCGGTAAGTTACGACTTTCAATGATAACTTAAATGTTAAATTTATGGCTTAATAATTTTGCTTTAAATCAAATGATAAAGTTGCAGGACACTGTGATATATGTTCAATTCCATTTCTGTTTTATTTTTTTTATACCATTATTGTATTTATTAATTCTCTTTTTTTATAATTAATCTTAGTAATAGCAAGTTATTCATTATACAGACTGGATTGTACAGAAATTGGATATCAATTCAGAATATTTAATTGATATCAAAGAGTGTTCATTATTTCAATGCATGGACACCTGTTGCTTATGTCTAGGCATGTTTATAATTCTTGTATCTGATTCACCTCAATTGTGAACTTTTATTCTATTATGTTGTTATGTTCTAAATTATTTGCTTTGTTTTTTATGTTCTAGTAAATATTGTCTTTAATTTCTTTTTTTTATATATTCTTATAAATCTAAATCATATTTTATGTGTATGCTCTAAACTGATTATATTTAGCCATTATGGTTGATATCAGATCAAATAAAAGATTAATCCAGTAATACTGAGTTAATGGTGTCATAACCCTCTCAATGTTAAATAGGAGTCAATGGCCTTGAGTCCATGGTTAAGTTTAAATAATACCTAAAGTGTGTTCCTGCTGTCCTAACTCAGTTTTCAGATGTTTGATATCGCTTCTTTTGCAATTTTTTGTGTCTCTGATAAGAAGAAAAGTTAGCTTATTAGTCATCAAGTTCTATTGACAATTCTTTAAACTTAATAAATGTAACCTAATTATTTTTTTAGGTCATACAAAATGAGGATTACACCAGGTTTACGGGGTGGAGAGTTTGGTCTTGAGTCTGTCACATCTCCTGATCATTATATACAGCTGAATGTCATAGGAAATGGTATTCTATTTCTTTTTAATCACTTCTCATTTTACTCCTTTTTAATTTGTTTAGTTAAGTTTTCATATTTTTATTTTATAATTATTTTTTAGGTGCTTATGGAACAGTTTACAAAGCTTGTCACAGAACAAATGAAAACACGTTTGTTGCTCTTAAGAAGATTAAAGTGCCTTTAACTGAGGAAGGTATTCCGATGTCTATGTTGAGAGAAATATCTACATTGAAGCTACTTGATCAATATGCACATCCTAATATAATTCGGTTTGTATGCGTGCACATATAATTTTGTTTAAAAAGTTCATGATTTCTTCATTAATATTTCTAAAAAATTTATGATAATATTAGTTTTAACTTTTCATTTCAATATTAGGTTTTGATGATTCTAAGTGGTTTTGGTAATGATGTGAAGCAAATGTAATTTTCTGAATTACGCTGTTGATTATGACGAAATGATTTTGTTACATGAACAGAGAAAAAAGTTCGGAGCAGCTCATTACCTTATGCCTGCTCATAATAATTGAGATTTAAGACCAAGCTTATCTTAATGTTATGACCAGCTCATTTTTACTAAATCTGGTGTCAATTTGATTGACACTTCACCGGATGAAGGATTATTTCATGACAACCTGTTATTTTACTGAATAAATCTCCGTCTTCTTACTCTACCTAGCTTAGATTAGCTATCAGTTATTAACTAATCCACTTTTTTTTTAGTTTAAGCCTATAGTTCTTTTCCTTATCAAAGTCCAAAATTATGTTAATATAATTGATTAGCATAATTACACAAAAAAGTAATTTTTCTTTACAGACCCTGTGCACCACTTTTTGTGCTTAATTCAGCAAGACCTTTGTCTAACTTGGGAATCGTTCTCTTGTATTCTACATAGAGCTATGTAATATTTTTAACTCAGTGTATTCATATGGCTTGGTTTTGATATCTTGAAATATCTTGGAAGCATTTTCAACCTAAACATATTAACTTTTGAATAGAGAAATGCAAATACCCAGTTTAAACATGGCTTCGAATTTCCTATAAAATCCGGAACCTCTAATGCACAGGAAGCTCTCTTGTTTGCAGCTTTGTATACTTCTCTTATCTCTTTGTGAATAAATATGATGTCAATCGTCAAGCAATTTGTTATTGTTAATTATTAAATTATTTAGCATCTTCCTAGTTAGTTTACTCTTGAAAGAAATTTGTAAAAATAATTGCTTAATAAATTATGATGCCTTGAATTTACAGCTAAAGCACCTTATTCTTGGTTTCATTTTTAAGCTTTCAATATTTGTATATTAAAAATTTGAAACCACTTCTCTTGTATTTATTGCTGAGAGTTTCTTTATTCTTCGTGGATCTGTAACAAATGTACATATTGTATATTTTGAATAAAATATATTTATTTAAATCTGCCTTTAGAAAAAATTGAGTATATATCTAAATATTTAATACAAAAACAAGCTTTAATGCTGCTTGGCCTAATGATCTTTGTTAAATTAAAATCAGATTACAAGTGTCATAGCTTTAAATTAAATGTGATATTGTCCAAATCTTTTGTTGCTTCTTTTTTTCATTCTCCACAATTTGTTTTAGTGAATAGCTCATGTCTCAAATTACAAAATGCTTCAAATTAAATAATTTTGGATGAAATATAAAATTATTGATCAAACTGGATTAAAACAAAAAGTACATTAATTAGCAGTGCAAATGAAAATTAAATGTACCATAAAATTAAATGAAAGACAGTTGCTCACTAAGATAGCGAATAGGTATCAAATAATAATTCCAATAGGCGACTCGTGGAGAATAGTTCACAGCTAAAAAAATAAATAAAAATGTCATGTTCGAAAAATCATAAATACTGTAAGATTTTGTTTTAACTTTGAAAACAGAACTCTATCTTAGAAATTATGTATCTATGCCTTTATATAAATAAATAAAATATTATTATGCCCTTATCAAAATTACTATTTTTCCTATAGTATGCAGATTATGAAAAATTAGATTTGTAAGTTTACATTTATTTCTACACGGGTGTTAATAAATTGATTTAGTGAAGGGAATCCATTTTTACTTCGTTTTTAATCCTGTTGCAACTTATAATTTTTTTTAGTATAATTTAACTTTGTATTGGAGTTATTAATGGACATTTGATTTTTTCTCTATTATTCCAAGAAGAAATTTGGTTTTCACTAATGTTATTATTTTAATTTTAGATTATTAGATGTGTGTCATGGAAGAAGATTAGAAAAAGAACAGCAACTTGTCTTGTTCTTGGTTTTCGAACATGTAGATCAAGATTTATCTGAGTACATGCAAAATTGCCCTCCTCCTGGATTACCTTCTGATACTGTGAAGGTATTTTTTACTTCTTAAAGGGATTAAGCTAGTGGTAGGATTTTTTAATTTAATTTTATTAATTTATTAACATGTATTTATACTTAATAAGTATGGTTGAATTTTTACAAGGGGTCCATTAGGAAGGAGGAACATCGGAGACAAAATAAAATAAACCACCATTACGGAGAGTCATGCAAACAAAATATCTTATTTAGTTGACAATTTCTTTGTGATGCTTCAATTGTGTTCTTCATTGCAGACCTTCTTGAAGACCTATCTTAAGAACCAATGCTAACTGTGACTATCCTTAGAATGTAACAGATTTTTATCTGTCTGTTAACCGCTGCAATCACAGTGGATTTCCTTAAATATAGACTATCAATTGAAAGAAAAAGTTAGACCCATCTGGCCAAACTAAACCATTTATCACTGTGATTCAAGAAAATGAGAAATAGGAATATATGGGTTACCTATATTATACTCTTACTTATTTAGGTTTTTTTATCTTCTATCCACCACACTGGTCATTATTTGATTTCTTGAAAGCTCGACAGAAAATAAAATTTTTGAATTGTGAAACAAAGAGCATTTATGAACAACTTTAACATTCTGATGTCCGTTGAGAACGAGTACAATGAATAGATTTAAACTTAAAACTAGTGTTAGCAAAACTATTGTTATATAGAGATAGGTAAGTTGTCCACTGATCAGTTATAGGAATGAAACAAAATTGTCAGGAATTTCAGTCAATATATTTTCATTGGGTTAGTCAACGTTTCGACCCAAACATGTTGTTCATCCTCCTCTAGGTTTTCATTTGGAAGTTGAGACAAGAACTTGAACTCTTGTCTCATCTTCCAATTGATAGCCCTGAGGATTACCCTACTTACATGTTTGTGTCAAAACATTGGTTTACCTAATAACAATTTTGTTTCATCCTTCTTTATATATATATATAGTGATATGTTGGGCTCACAGTATTAAAATTCTAAAGTAATGAAACATTATACTTGAAGAAAACAGAAATTAGTGATTATGAAGCTCATTGCAACTTCATTGATCACAACTTAAGTAATCAATTAAATTTAACTTTAAATGAGCTGTTTTTTTTTGTTTTGTTTTTCTTATACGGCGCTATGTCTTACATAGAGACAAGGCTTCTTGCAGCTTTGAGCCCCAGTCTGAACAGTTTCCCCCAATGGGCTGAAAATAAATTGTTTTGATGAAAGTAGGTTACATTCTTTAAATTGGTTTAATTCTTCAAATACAATTAACTTTTATTCTTCATGATGCCAAGTGTGGTGGACATCCTGTAAGGATCAGCTCTGAGGGCTGAGAGAGATCTTTTGATTCGAGGTGTCAGTTATTTTTAGGGACAATAGTCTGACTTAGTTCCAAGCCATTATACAACTTTACACCACTGTTGACATACTAAGATTACTTATGTGAGTAACACAAACTCAACTAAAACTAGCTGCTTCAACAGGGTGGAAAGCTTGAATGTTTGAAGTATATAGGATCAATCCATTTGAAATCATCCTGACCGTGTTGCTCTACATTTTAATAATTTTTTTTTTACTAGTTAATCTATATTTATTTGAGAGTTAAAAAATTTTTAAAGCTCCAGGTTTTCTTTGGTGGCCATTTTTAATTTTATTCTCAACTGAAAACATGATATGGAAAAATGTCTGTAACTATGGTTATCATCCATAACGACCTTAATGTTCCTTATGTTTCTGACCTGGCCCAATCCAGATATCTATCCTTCCATAACAAACTTCAGAACCATCCAAACCCTCTCGTTTCCAACCTTGCTTTCTCTTCGATCCCTGACAACCCTCAGAGGCGTCTGAAAAGAAGATGGCCTCGAGATCTCCTTTTGTAAATACATTTTTAGAGTACTACCAATGGGTAGTTTCTCAACATGTGATTTCATGCTATATTATTCCTTTGTTCACATTTACTGAATGTATTTTTACTTGTAATACAGTTGTAAATATTATCAATAAAAAAAAAAAAAATAAATAAAACTGGTAATTTTATAGATATTGAACCAAAATAAAAACTGGAATAGTTATGAGCATCTTGTCTACATTTCTGTTTATAAATATATCACCTAAAAAGAAAGGAAAGTGTTTTTAAAAAAATCTTGAAAATTGACAAAAATGAGATATTTAGCGCTTTAAAAGTGTGATAATGAAAATACACTCATCTTTGATCTCTTTTTGTTTGATGGTTCTACCAGTGTGCTACATGTTGATGAAATTTCCATCTTGAAAACCTTGTCCTATTTTTAATATGAATTTTCAAAAACAGCCAAAAGTCGATTTTGCCGATAATTTATGTCAAATATCACAAAATTGTGCTGTTGTCATTTTTTTAACAGCTTTCTCCACTACTTAGAAAATTTATTTCAGGACAAAAAATTTAGAGCAAAACATCATAATTTTAATTTTTGTTTCGTTTTGATATCTGCAAAAATGTCTGAGTTAGAGTAGGTAGGATATGCTGATACCGAGTTCCACTAGGTAGCATTATTTGTTGCACTATAACTAATAGAACCAGTTGAGTCTCAATGATCAAATTCATATCACACATTCCTATCATAAAGAGGTATCAATTTCATAATTTTTCACTCAGTCCCTTTCGTGTTATTCAATGTCCAAAAATTGCCTAAAACCTGTTTTGGCCGTTTTTGAAAATTCATGTTAAAAAAAGGACATGATTTTCAATATTAAATTTTCATCAACATTTAGCACACTGGTTGAACTATAAAACAAAAAAAGGTGAGTCTATTTTTATTACCACACTTTTGAAGCGCTAAAAGTCTTATTTTTTGTCAATTTTCATGATTTTTTTAAACCACTTTTCTTTCTTTTTAGGTGATATATTGCTAAACAGAAATGTATACAAGATACTCATAACTATTCCAGTTTTTATTTTGCTTTGATATCTACAAAATTACCAGAGTTTTCCATTAAAAAATTACAGATACATTTCCAAATCATGTTTTCAGTCGAAAATAAAATTCAAAATGGCTGCTAAAGAAAAACTGTGAGTCTTAAAATTTTTTTTAACTACGGTTTTGCACTGTCAAATAAATATAGATTATATAAAAGATTAAAATCAAACATGTCGAGCTACATAATTAATTCAAATTAGCTAATTTCAAATTGTTGACCCTATAGTCCAATTAAGCCAAAACAAAAATAAACCTATGTGATTTACTGTCTTGACTCAAAATTACAGGGAAAATATGCAAATTAAGCTCTAACAAAACGATAACATAGATTGATCACTTGTTTACTTTAAAAATTGAGTTAAATAGCCCAAAAATCATAACTTCAGCAATTGTTTCTGTAACAGTTTTTAAATTATCAATCCTCCAACTGGGTACAGAAACATCTATTAAGTATTATTTGATTGACTTAATTAGTCATGTCACTACAAATTCAAAATGGTTTTTAGTTGAAGTTAGGAGATGTATTGATGCAATTTTTGGTTTCTTCAAGTTGAGATCAATACCAATGGGTAATGGTATACATTGGAACTTGAGTTCTCAACATTTTATTACGTCACACAATTTTTATAAAATTAGTTATTGCTATATGATAAACATAATTATGTTTCAGCAAAACTTAAATCATTCTTGGTTTTTTTTTCTAGTTTTTGATATATGAATTTATATTAATAAATATATGTTAGTTATAGTTTGGAAAAATTCCAAATCACACAGCCTTATGTTTCCGAAATGCAGGCAAAGAAAAAAAAACCCATGAACGTTTCGCCAATTTGAATATCACTTCATAACATCCAATTGCATATTATAACAGTATAGTATGCGATTTCGATTGGATGTCATGGAGTGATGTTTGATTAGCTGTTCTTTTCTGTCCTAATGATGCCTGAATTGGCGAAATGTTGATGGATTTGTTTTCTTAGCCTGAATTTTGGAGACAATAAGGCTGTTTGGTTTGGAATTTTTCCAAATTATAACCTATCATTTATGTTCTGTCTTTTGATTAGTAGTTTTGCTACTAATTTATATATATATATATATATATATATATGTGTGTGTGTGTGTGTTTGTGTATTCATATATATGTACTTTTTTTTTTTATAGAATCTGATGCACCAGATCCTTCATGGAATAGATTTTCTTCATAGTCATCGAATTCTTCATCGTGATTTAAAACCTCAGAATTTATTAATTACAAATGATGGTATTGTTAAGCTTGCTGATTTTGGCTTAGCCAAAACTTATGACTTTGAGATGAGATTAACATCTGTGGTATGTATTTTAATCTAACAAAGCCTCAAATAAGTATTAAACTATAATGTACTTCAGAAAACAATTATTCGCTCTTCTGTTGTCAGGTTGTTACACTGTGGTACAGAAGCCCTGAAGTGCTCCTTGGATGTCCTTATGCTACTCCTGTAGATATCTGGTCTCTTGGTTGTATCATGGGTGAAATGTACAAGAATTCTCCTCTTTTTGCTGGCTCTTCTGAAGGGGATCAGCTTGATCGAATTTTTAGGTTAGATTTATTTAATTTAAGAGTTGATTGTTTGATTTGTAAAGTAATACAAAGATTAACTTACTGATCTTTGCTGTCTTCTACATTTTGTTGATGGTTTTGTCATTTCTATATTTCTACCGTTTCATTTGATACTTGAAGGCCTAAAATTGTGTGAGCTCTTGTCAGCACAGTAGAGTCCTAACATCTTAAACATTGTGACAATATAGCTGATAAGCATTCTAATTTTTCTTTATTTTTAGGACAATTGGGACTCCATTGGAGTGTGAATGGCCAGAAGAGGTCTCAGTTTCTCTCAACAGTTTTGCTCGCCACTTGCCACGAGACATCAGAACTATCATTCCTGAAATTTGCCCTGAGGGCAAAGACTTATTGGAGGTAAAAAGATCTGATTTTTATATACGTGTATTACCATAGTGCACTATTCAACTGCTGATGCCTATTCATCTTGGAACAGCCTTTTTTTTCATCCTAGATTTTTTTAAATATAGAAGTTGGTGCACTAAATAACAGCTTTATTTCCAAACAAACCTTTTAAGGCTTCATTATAACATGTTTTACAAGAATAGGTTATAACTGATATGTGGACCCTAATACTTATTGATAAAACATTCTGCTGTGTTCCTGTTGTTATTTTCTTTGACAAATGATTTTATATTTACATGGTTATCTACCCTTACGCCTATTTTTTATTAATTTTCAAGCAAGTAGAAGCTTTATTTAGAATTTATTCTTCAAAGTAGTTAGTTATTTACATTCATTTTTGACAGTTTCTAGCTTTTAAGCAATAGTTTGCAGTTACTCCCAGTCAACCATGATACAAAGGTAAGTGCAGGTTTCATTAGCGGTAGTGGTGCAAAAGCTCCCTTATGTGGCCTCTAGATAACCATAATGTAAACTAAATGATTACAATTTTTGTCAAACAGTCCAATTCAGGGAGATAGTAAACTCAGTAATTTTGTTTTTCAATTCTTTAGATTATCAGCATTAATTAAATATGTCAACTCATTCTGACACTGGGGTATGTTACACCCCAAACTTTATATTATCATAAAATTTAATTGTCATGCTCTTAAAAACTGAAATACTTTTCAGAAAAAAGCTAAATAATCAGGAAAAATAAAAAATAAAATAAATTCAAGGTAACATCAGAGAATATATTTTACTTTATTATATGCTGACATAAAGTAAAAAGTTAAAATCTACATTGCTAAAAAATAAAAAAAAGATCAACATTTTTCAATTAAAAATCTATTAAGTTTATATCAATTTAATATATATATATATATATATATATATATATATATATATATTTACATTTACATATATATATATATATATATATATATATATATATATATATATATATTTGAAATGTAAAACATATACATAATAAAGGAAAACAATTTTTTTTACTTAAAAAGTTAATAAAACCTATAGTGGAGCCCATTTAAGTATCCATTCACTCACAACAATCCAAGCGAACAGGTCTGTTACATTGCTGACAACCCATTCTGTCTTCCTTTCTTTTCCTCTTGTACAAAATGAATATTTGGTTTGGTTTTCCAACAGTAGTTGTTTATTTTTTAATTCCCAAAATTTCTTTTATTTTGATACTCACCGTTCATGTGAGTGTCTCCACTTGCAGTCTTACATTCAAACAGGGATCAAATAACAAATAGCCTTATCCAAATAAATAATTTATCCATTTCAACATTATTTTCCCACTTAACTAAGCTGAACAATATTACGCTGTTTATACCAGCATGGTTCAACATTCCTTATTTTTCTTGCTGGTGCGTATGCACATGACACGACACATTTTACAAGTTTTGTACATATGTCTTCTTTATTTAATACGCTCCTTGCATCTTTTCTTTATCTTCTAACTCCCATATTTCTTCAGAAGGATACATTGTTTTGGTAATTACTATCCTAAAAAAATAGTTTCTATATATTAATGTCTGAATACCACCAATATTTAAAATGTTATGGGGTGAGTCACACCCCAGTGTGTCGTTCTAGGGTTAAGTCTGTTCAATAGTTATTTTTTCCCATCGCGTATGATAGTTTCCATTGTCTAATTGCAATTGTTTGTGTTGTAGCAGTCAAAATATTTTTATAACCATTAGCAAAATGAGTTTTGTGATATGACTATTATAACACTATTCCTTACTCTAACTTATAGCAAAAGAAAATTTTTAGTATTTTGTCCAAACTATTTGTCTTGTTAGGGTGTCCCATAGATTTCTTCTTGTTTTTACCTTCACTTAGCTATATATGTAGTATATAGTAAGGGAAAGTATTGCGATTGTGAAAATTTTCGAATCAGAGTTTTTAACAGAAATAAATGTTTTGAGGTCCCCTGAGTCCAAATAACCAAATCCCGCAAAATGATCTGTAAACATCCTAGCTCAAAATCGTACGAAACTGAAATTGTGTATTTAAGGTTCACATGTGGCTGGAATGTTATAGCAACTTTACATAATCGATTTTAAACATGTTTACAATTTTCTTGAAAATAGCTCTCTCACATGTAACATAGTAAATCAACGTTAAACAACAAATATCGTCTATTGATTTTGCATAAAATAAAAGGACAACTTGATCATTTATTTATAGTTAAATTCTTTTTCCACAGTTTAATTAATTCATTATACTAGAATCCAAGGTCTTGGTGTTAAAAAATAGAAATAGTGATAGAGGAAATACATTTTGTTCCTAAGTGGTTGATTAAAAATATATGCTTATTTTTCCAATCAATGTAATTTGATCATATTCTTTTCTGAATCTTATCATGGTATTTGTTAATGTTTCAGCAAATGCTTGAGTTCGATCCTCGAAAACGCATTGGTGCTTATGAAGCCCTACAGCATCCTTATTTCAGTGACAGCACCTATTCTATTTCTCAAGAAAGTAATACAAACTCTCCGAATGGGTCTCCTGATGGCAACCTTTAAATTAATATTATTTATGCATATACAAAGAATTTATGCAGTACAAAGAAATTTCGTAAGATTGCCATATTTGTTTTTCATAGTAGTTTATTTGCTGTAGAATTAAATTTTAATGAAAAATTTGAAACATATCATAGTTTGTTATAAAATTAAAATATTTTTGTAATCTTAGAACTAAAATTTATTATAAGAATCATTTAATAGTGCTCAACACTTCTATTGCAGGTTTTTCTTTTGATCCTTTTATTGCTTACAAATGCATGTTTAGTATAAGAAAGTTTGAGATCTCTATTATAGTTACCGAATATTGTGAACTTCCTATGAAAATTTGTTCACATTAAGTATATTTCGATATAATTACCACTAATCTTCTATCTTTTAAATTAAAATTAGCTAAATTGTATTAATGCTTTTCAGTTGAAACTAAATTATTTTATTTTATTAAACATTGGATGTAAGTTCCAGTAATAAATTAACTTCACGGTTTGCAATAAAGTTGTTGACCATTATTAAAACTGTTTTGAAATGAAGTACTTCATTTCTTGAAAAAAAGATTTTTCATTCCACAATTGTGAATTAAGTTAGTATTATTAGTGCTGTTGTGTGTTGTATTACCTTAAATTCTTGATCTGATAATAGAGTTGATTAATTTATTGAAGGTTTCAGTCAAATAACTGTAAATGTAGTTTTTTTACTAAATGACTCCTACCAATTTTTTTTTCCCGAGTTACAAAATATTATTCCCTCAATCTATCGTGGTAACGGTATTATTATGAGTTTACGTTCAGAACGTCTAATGAAATCTACATACAATGAATCATGTCTATTGGTAGATATCTACGTAACACTATTATTTGGCTAAACCTTTAAATTAATCATTATGAATGTTTTAGAAGGTAAAAAATACTTGTTTATGTCTATTAAGAGTGTATTAGGAAATAAGTTATTTGTTGCCATGTTTAAGACAATATCCAGTTTCAAGAAATGTGCCTTTGTTTTGGTTAAAATGATTATTGTATTTTATTGTTAAAAAATAGATGTTAATGATATTATTCTTGTAATTTGAGGGACCAAGAATACCTTAGTTTTAGTTAAGATATGCTTATTTTGTGTTTTTGCCAATTTTATTTTGTCACTGATTTCTAATGCTCCATAGTTTATAGGTTTTGTAGTATTTAGTTATTTTACCAAAGTATTGTCTAGAAGATTTCAAAGGCGTTTTGTGTTAAGGTTGTTTTGTTATAATTTTTATTATAGATGATAAGTGATTTGTTTTATAATTTTTTCTTTTTTGAAAAATGTAGTTTTAGTCTTTAGGTATATTTTCATGAGACTCGTTATCATCATTTAATTGTGTTCATAAGCTGCCATATGAACTGTTAGAAGTTAAGAAATCTTTAAGATGTACTCAAAGTACCTCATTTTCTACAATGAGATAGTGAAAAGAGAATGATAATATCAATCATGTATAATGAATAAATATACATTTTTAAATGGTTTACAAATCTGAGTAATAAAATAATCTATTACTGTCCTCATCTCTAGATATTTAGTTCTGTCTCATTTATTATTCCACTTATTCCATAGCGTGATGGAATCTGGCATAAGTTGATAAAACTGTGTTGTGACCATGTCAGTGGCATTTTCTAAGGCCAACTGGCCACCGAAAGCACAGCAGAGCTGAGCTGAGTCAAGCTTCCAAAACCAAACTAAAGGTTTTCAATTAGAGGCCAGCCACCAGAAGCTGAGCGCAGTTGAGCGGCGTAGCAAGGGTTAGCTTTGGGTTGATCGGGATTCAGTTTTGTAAGCTAACTCCACTAAGCTCAGCTTCCCTTACCACACCTAATCACCACTGTCACACAACCGTGGGACTTAGTTTCTCAGTGTCATCCTTTTTCCCCGCACGTTTTCACTACACAACCTCCCAAATTATTTTATTTTGGTTCAGTGAAAAATATGCAATGGATGTGGAAGAATTGTTAATTGAATGTGTAACGGAAAATATTCGATATTTCTTTTCAAGTCCGACATGATCAACTTTGCTATTTTTTAAAAATTTTGTAAATGCTATGTATACTTTTTAAAAATATGAGGAATATGAGAAGGGTACCGAGGCAAGGGAAGTTGCTGACTCAGCTGAGCTCCGCTATGCAATTAGTTGCTGACCGCCTCTTGCTATGCTCAACTCAGCTCAGCTGCGCTTTCGGGCTCAGTCAGCCTAATGGTTGCTACATAGTCATTAACTTCAGTCCTAGAGTGGAGACAGTTATAATAGACAATTTGTGATTAAGATTTGCTTTACAGACCTCCCAGTCTGCATTTTCATATTTTATCAGACGTAGTATTAATCCTAGTATTTAATAGTATTAATACTTCAATTCCGGTTGATTGATGATTAAACTAATTAACTTTTTTTTGGATACCATATCTGGCATATAGGGGATTTGTTTTAGAGGTTCAATTAAACCTATTCAAGCAGAGTGGGAAGGTCGAGCTTCACTTACTGGGTCCGCCACAAATTAAATTTCAGCCTGCCTTGGTCAGATATGAACCGGCATCACTAGAATCTAGAATGTTATTGTGGAACCAAACTTTTAATATGCCTGGCCATCATGACCTCAGTTGATTCTACTATCTGGTATAGCAGGGATTTATGATTCAATGCCACAAATGTTGTGGTTGTCTTGACTGCTACAGTTGGCTTATCAGCCCCATTGCATAACTACATATCTTATTTGGATTTAGAAACTGTGTTTAAATCTGTCTAGGGTCTGTAGCGGTCCTGGGTGCTGACCCATAATAAATCCTATACTGATTCAGAAACCCCAGCTCAGGCTGCCTGCTGGGGAACTTAAGTTATTTAAAATTAATCTATAAATATATTAAAAAGTTTCAAATATTATGACTAAGAAAATTATATTTAATTACTTCAAGATTTTGACTAAGTGTTTTATTTGGTTTTTACTTTTTTACTGACAGACAACATGGTCAAAAGGCAAGAGGAATAAGTAATAAATTATAAGAAGGTAATAACTGCTTCTTTTTTTTTAAATATGTAGATATTGAATAACATTAATACAATAATTATCTTAGGAAAAAAATGAACATCACAAACAAATATCATGATTGATAAATTTCATAATTAGACAACAGACAAAAACAATTACAATTAAATAAAAATAAATTATCTTGAATACAATAAAATCTATAATAAAAATAATTCACCAAAGATTTATTATGTATTAAAATAAAAAAAGTAAATATTTATTGCCAGTTAGGTGCTCACTTAAGTTGTTTAAAATTAATCCACAATATGTTATAAAGTTGTAAATGTTTGAACAAAATATAAAGATTTTTTATTTAAATTAATATGGAGGTTGATTGAAATTATTTTATCATTAGTTTTCATTGAAAATAAAATAAAGATGTATTCATAATTATGAGTGTTTCAACTGCCTTCCGCAGTGCTACATACTACGCCCTGAAGACGACCTGCAAAAGTGGGTCGAAACATCGGCAAAAATTAAAATAATTAATATATTTTAATTTATTATTTATTTGACCGCACCCTCAACTAACTCTTTCTAAAAAAAAATAAAGGTTTTCTAAAAAAATGTCTGCGATAAATTATTGCAAAAAATTATGTTTTTAAACATAATTACTGATTTTTAATATTTTTTTCATATTTAATTTAAATTATTTGAATACACCTTCCTAAAAACTAAATTATTAAAAACTAAGAATATTGTATTTTTCCACGTTTGCTATTAATAAAACACAAAATAACTTTATGCTGCAATATATCAAGGTAATTCTTGTATTTTTAAAGATTTATCCATGTATGCAGTAGTGAGCTCCTAAAGGGACAAGCTACTGGATATTTGTTGGAATTTCCCTATCAGAAAAAAAAAAAAACACTCCATTTTCTCCAGTTATAGGTCTCAAAATTCAAAGTTTTGGAATTTGTTTTTTATAATTTAGTATTTATTTTTATTATAATATAAGTTCTTATTATTTTAGTTAAAAGCTGTTTATATGTAGCACTTATACCTCTTGCCAACCAGTAAAAAGTATTTAAATCAAAATCAACATTCCATTTAGTCAAAATCATGATGTAATTAAATATAATCAATTTTCTTAGTCAGAATATTTAAAACTGTTTAACATATTCATGGATTAATTTTACTCAACTTATTTTCCCCAGCAGGCAGGGTGCATTCAGGTTTCTGAATCCATATGAGGTTTGTAATAGATCAACCCTCAGGGGCACTACAATACTTAAGACGGAATGCCTATAGATTTTATAATTACGTAGCACCATTTACTCTGTTTCTGAATTTTTACGTGATCCGTTATAAGGTAGCTCATTTTTTTTTTTTTTTTTTTTTTATAAGGTAGCTCATAAGAAATGAAAAATAGGCTGAGGAGGAAAAGTATGGATAATTTGAATAGAAATTCGATGAAATAAAAATATTTATATTTTATTTTTTTTTAGAAATAGCCTAAAAGGTAAGAAATAAGAGCTACAAAAGTGAAATGGAAACAAAATACTTGGAACGACAAATTGCTTGTATTCTAACATCAACTGACACCCTTGGATGTTTATCTCGTTTTAAGAAAAGATTAATTTATGATTTTTTGTATATTATATCACAAAATTACATTATTTTTTATAAAATTAAGAACTTATGATAATGTAGAATAAGGAGAGAACTTTCAATAGGTTTCCCAGTAATTTGTGGGGGTTTTTTCTTGAAGAAATCAACTAACTCAGTTATAGATAACTACTGTTTTTTATATAAAATTAGAATAGGTATTGTTCATAAGGGATACTTAAATCCAGAGGGGAGGGATACTTAAGTCCATCGAGACATTCAAATAATTAATAAGGCAAGTATTTAATAATTAAGTTGTCAGTTTAAAGAATGTTTGGTATTTGAAAAACAATGGTTATAATAGCCTAATATTTTTTTTAAAATGCGCTATATAAAACATGGGTTCCAAGAATCAAAAGCAAACCTTTCAGAAGAAAAGGCTCGATAACTACAATTGAATGAATAAGACACACACATAATAAACATAAATATAAGGTATAATAGAGGTGATCAATAAATATTCACTTATTTATAAAGATATACGTATATTGTCTAAAAAAATATATACTATTACAAAATAATTTTTAAATATCCTTTTGGAATCCTTCAGTCCTCAGTACTGCCCTTAGTGCATATCTACAATTAAGTATCACTTATTTTAGTCTCAGTAAGAGTTTGCTTGGATGAAGTGCAGTGATTTTATAAATAAAGTCAAACAGAGATGATTTCCTCGGCTTGTCCCACCATAAACCAGCTCCTTTTTTTTCTGCCATATCCTCTTCTGAAAGTAGACTTTTATAATATTTAGAATATTCCTTGTAACCTTCTAATGAGAAATTATAAGGTGTAACACTAGCAAATCCAAGAGAAACTAAATGTTTTCCAATATTCCTCTTCTTTTGATAAACCATACAACTTACATAATCTGGCTGTTTATGAAGCAAAATAAAGTCAACATTAGCACCAACAACTATTGTTTTAAGCCATGATATTCCATTACTTGATATATTTACACCCTCTATGTCAACAAGTAATCCTTTAGACTTCCTCAAACCGCTCAAGAAGATGGGATGATGATCAATCAGCAAGAGAGTTTTCGGAAAATATTCTATTCTTAAAACTTTTCCATTAAGCTTTAGGTGACTATCAATGAAGGACTTTGGAATATCTTGAGGGGAAGTAAATTTCTTAAAAGGACGAACACTTCTAAATGCAAACCCAAGACCTAAGAACCCAATACCATATATTCCTAATTTAACACCAACTATATTCTGCTCAAGAAACTCTGTTGCACTTCTTAACCAGTCTTTCTTGTAAGGATTCGTCATATCTGCCTTTTATGTAGGTGTTTTCATTGATAATAAGTAATAATTTATAATATTTACCTTTTTAAAGTACCAACGTATTCATTACTTGAAAATAAAAAATTCAAATCTAAACAGCATCTGATTTATTAATGGATTATTAATACGAAAAGATTAAAATAAATATTATAAATGAATAAATAATAAAAAAAGCGTTAAATATCAATTAAATTTTTTAAACGTTCAGGAAGAAAAAAATCCCTTTGCCCCGTGCTAAATTTGAAGGGAACACAATAAACTTAGACATTCAAGAACCATCGTTCAAATTAGTAAACATTCAAACATTGAAATGACCATTCTTAAGAGAAAACCAAAGAGTAGTAAAAATACTTATCTCTTGATTTTCTTTTAACTGTGCAATTCAGGGACTTAATCGCTGCACAGACCTAGAAAAAACATAGTATTTAGATAGAACAGTATTTAAATCACTATTTACATATGATTGACATCGGGTTATACTGATAAAATATTATCACAATTCAATTTCAAAATCTCTATATTTTTCAGATGATCTTAGCTTATTTATTATTATCCTCCAGTACCTTTTGTCCGGTTTCTGTAAGCATTTCCTTCTGTTCTGGAGTGAGAATCTCATTAATACGAATCCCTGATAGCCCCCGTGGCCGTGCAATAGATTTTCCTCTCAAATTATTCAATACTTAGGTTCTTTTTAGGGTGGTGATTAGTGTTAATAGCATTTATGAACACTAAACACTAATAATTAGACATCCCTAGACATATTTGGGATTCCAATACCTTTGAATGAGAGAAGAGAACTGTTTGCATTTATGCAGTTGGTCTATTTCTGGCAATTGGATTTTTTAAAGTCAGTGCATTTCTAACAATATTAAAAAGAAATTTGAATTACCCGATCTTTTGCTAGCTAGACCCCTTTATTAATGCTTATTAAACTGGGATATTAGGAATATGCCCATACTTTGTTGTCCATTTCTCTTATCAAGTAAGTTAGTCAGTCTCATCTGATAGCTATCTTGCATCCACTTCATAATTATGGTCAAGTTCCTAAACTCAACGTTGAAATAATTGATGAGAATCGAAAATCCATCAGGCCATTCCTGCACTCATCGATAATATAGTGGACGCAAGTTCCTAAAATCAGCGCTGAGATCATTGTAGAACATCGGATAGAATCGATGGAATGGCGCTGAGTTCAGGAACTTATCCTATACCTCTTTGGAATACCGGAAGGTTATGTTGTCAAGATAAGTTATCTATAACTGGACTTGTGCCAGGTCTATGTAGGTGACTGTTAAATGAATGAATTAGTTTTATCTTTTGTTTCAAATTATAGCTTTATTTTTACAATATGGGTAATTTATTTGGCAAAAAACAAAGAGTGAGTAGAGTCACAGACCATGATAAAGCAGTATTAGTAAGTGTCTTTTTAACTTTCCTTCAATAAACTGTACCCTATATTATTGTTTATATCTGTTATGAAACTGAATAATTTCAGCAAATAAAGCAGCAGAGAGATAAACTCAAACAGTACCAAATTAGAATAGAAAGTAAACTTGAATCCGACAGGATTCTTGCAAAGAAACTTTTAAGTAATGGCCAGAAGGAGTAAGTTTTCTTTCTGTATTGTTCTGTTATATTTCATTTTATAATTTAAATGTTGAATTTTTACCTGTCTTTAGGCGTGCAAAGTTATTACTAAAAAAGAAAAGGTATCAAGAACAGTTATTGTTACAAACTGATGGTCAACTGGAAAATTTGGAAAAAATGATTCAAGATCTTGAGTATTCTAAAGTTGAAATGAGAGTAAGATGGTTATCATATCTCCACCAGGTTAACTGCTAAGCTTTTCTATTAACTGTTTTTTTTTTTTTTAATTATATTACAGATATTGGAAGGCCTTAAAGTAGGGAATGAAGCTTTAAAGAAAATGAATGAGGCTATGAATATTGATGAAATTGAAAGGATAATGGAAGAAACTGCTGAGGGTATAGAAAAGCAGAGGGTAAATAACTGGTCTTTTTTTTTTTTTTAATAGAAAAATGTATAATGTATGTATTATATATATGATGTATATATATACATATAATGTATGTATGTATTGATAGAGAGAACATTTTTTAATCCAAGTTATCAATGGAAACACTCATTTTGAGGTCCCCTGAGTTCAAATAACAAAATCTTACGAAATGGCCTTGGAGTGTGCAGGATCAGGAGCCATGGCTATCGTGCGCCTTGAATTAGAGACAAACATTGAAATTAATTTATAGAAAATTCAATTTAAATAAGAGTCAACAGAAAATATATGTGGTAATAAAGTTCTAAGAGCTAACATAAGCAAATAAAAAAATCCTTTCAATCTACAGTAAGTTAATAATAACATGAATTTTTATGATAATCTAATTCGGTTGCCTAACATAAATATTTATTTCTTGTAATAAGAAATTGTTAACTGTTGAGTACATTTCGGTGAAATGAAAGGTGTTGGTTTATGTTGGTTCTGTGAATACTAGACAAAAAGAGTTGTAAACCATACCTCCTCCCCATTCAGCAGCAAAAATATCCTCCCCAGTTGTGTGTTTGTGTGTATGTGCGTGTGCGTGCCTGCGAACAATCTAGCTGATTAATGAAAAGTTTTACTAAAAAAAGGGTGGTAAATGAAAGTTGTGTGTGATGTACAGTGAACCAGATTTTTTTTTCAATGGTTTCATCTACTTTTCCCAATCACATTAATTATGTGTATTTTTTTCAACATCTCTGCTGGGATTTAACTTTAACTAATTGAATTTTAATGTTGATTAATCTTCTATTTATTTTACTTTACTAGGAAATAAATGAACTCCTTAATGGTAAACTATCTCAAGAAGACGAAGAGGCAGTTGATCGAGAATATGAAGAATTGATGAGGCTTGAAAGAGAGCATGATGAAAAACAAATTATTTTACCAGAAGTGCCATCTGAGGACCTTGAACCAGGTTCGTTAATAATTTTATATGATTATTGTAATAATGGTTCATATAAGTATTTTAATCTTAATTATAAATTAAAAAAACATCTGAATTGAAGTACTCATTTGATTATATAAGCTCACTTATAATATTTGATTTTCATAGATAATTACTGATTACTATGTTATATAACAAGCATTTTTTTATATGACACCTAATGAACAATTTAACAAAAAATCTTATGATTTTCTTGTTTGTATTCATGTCAGTTATTTGTAGCCTTAACATAATATTATGAATTCAGTCTTGAGATCTTTTTTACTTGTTTATAATTGTCATTTTTCTCTCTTTTTTTGCCATGTCAGTTTAGAAGTATGAAGTTTTTAGTCATATTGTCTCATTCTATTTTTTGCTCCCTTGTTATCAAAGATTGAGAAACTTTGTGTATTCATGCAGAAGCATAAAACAATTTCTGCCCGCAGGATTTTCACTTATGTTTTACATTTTAAACATCAGAGGGTCAATTTGATTTTATACCTGTTTGAACTATTATCTGTTTATTTCAAACTATACCCTGCCTGTTATGAAATACATGTGTTTGCCATCTATGCGCACTTTTTTTTTTTTTTTTTTTTTTTTTTTTTTGGGGAGGGGGGATGGTCCTCCCCTTCCTCGCCGTTAAGGCTATACGGGGTTTTCGCGGGCCAGGGGGTGTGGGCGGGGATTTAAATGCACACAGCTTGCTCATCTTGATTCAGCTTTTATACTATACCATCCTCTTCCACCCTCTCTGGTATAGTTCCTGATGGAGATTCTTCTCTCCTACATCAGTAGAAATGGGAACATTAACTTCTTTTCATACCCAAAGGCCTTGTAATATTGGAAGTTCTCCTTGGATATTAGCCAAGGGATATCACTCTCCATCAGAATATCGAGCTTTATCTCCCTTAGATGCTTGGCCCTTAGTGTTTTATAGGTGGTACATGCACATAAGATATGCTTAGCAGTCTTCAGTACTCCACAACTCGTGATGGACTAAACATCCTGTTTTGCATTACTGATGTTGATTCTATTTTTAATGAAATTCGAAGATAATTATATTGGTTGGTTTATAAATGATCCCATATTAATTTCCATTTCCTATCTTCTGTACTTTGGGTCTGACATGCAGTCAGTTCAGAAATGGTCAAACTTATCAAAATTCATTCAATTTTTTAATTTTCTCATGGATGAGCAAACTTATTTTACTTGTCTCTTGTTTATTTCCAATCTGCTTAATCAAATTAGGCCTAAATTGGAGGAAAGTTAAGGTGTAGTATAAAAATGGTCTAGTATTAATTTAACCAAATTCTATATATTTACAATTGTAAACTTTTTTTTACAATAGGGAGGTTTTCATTTGATGGGTTGTATAGCTTATATTTGAAAGATTATAGGTGTATTTTTATATTTAAGCTATTCTAACCAAAATTAGAATGATTCCAATGCTTTTACATCTTCAATTCAGCATGCAGTTCTGTATCATGGAAAAAGAAAAGAGACACTGTCCCCAACTTTGAAATTTGAGTGAACTGCACAATATAAATCAGGATTGGAGATATATTGATTGTTAAAATATAACCCCACATTAGTTAGTCTCAGTAGCTAATAAATGAAGCCCTTTTAACAGTAAATATATCGTTGCTTTTTTTTTTTTTTGTCCTTTTTTTCCAAAGTACAAATATATTTTTAACTGTTTGAGAGTTGAAACAATCAAAGAAGAATGTTTAATATATCTGACAAAGCATCTTATTGATCTCATATAAGATTCTAGATTATATGATTTATTAATTATAGGAGAACTTCTCTAAAAGTATTATAAAGGAAGGAGATGGTCCGGGGTTGCGGTCATAAAAAGGCTAAATAGTTCTACCACTATTTAGCCTTTTTATGACCGCAACCCCGGACCATCTCCTTCCTTTATAATGCAATGGTCAACTATTAAATATTCTAAAAGTATTATGTTTGTGCCTATTCACTTGGAATATAGTTTGAATTGTGAGATAGGGCTTCATTTATTATGTTTGATGAAATGAAACTCTTCCAGTTTGAAAGAATGGTATTGAGAAGTATATTTATACCAGTGAAGGGTGGTTATTTGGAGAATAAGGAGTATTCTCTATAGTCTATAGTAGTCTATTATTGGAATAATAATATAGACATTTTTCGATTTGTTTAAATAAGATGACTTCACTTGGCCATACACATGGCCATGGAGTTGTGTTGGATTCTAAAACATAATTGATTGATGAACTCCATCAAACCATCAAGTAAGATGACTGAATGGGGTGGTCACTGGTGTGTGGACCCTTCTAAATATTTGAAATTGGACCGCTTAGGATAGAACCATATGGTGGTGTCTCAGACCTCTTGCACAACAGTGCACTGTCCTTTATACCTTATATGAATATTATGTAGTCTTACATTTTTATTAAATGTTAATCTGAAAAATAAGTGCTCAAATTGGTAATGATCATCTCCTTGTTTTTGAAAAATTAAAAAGAAATACCGAAATAATTTAGAAAAAATTGTTTGCTGATCATTCTACAGTACATCAATTCAAATCTTTATATGCAATTAGTGTTCTGACCACTAGTACTGGTGAAGGGAACTAGTCTGGCAAGTGGGCCAACATGGTTCTTTATGCTAATCTTTAATGGCTACCTTAAAGTTTTCACTGCATATTTACTATAGGAAGAATGTCAGTGGCAGTGTGGCCGAGCGGACTAAATCGTTTGTAAAACACATGTTGTCCCGTAACCAGATGAATGATAAGCCAAAGTTTACAAGACATAAAATAATTACGAGTCCACACCCATGAGGCTTTTAACTCTGGCATTAGGGGCGGACAAAAAAAAAAAAGGAGGTAACATCAAGATTAATTTCTCAAGGCTGCCGAGAAATGAAAATTAACAGACTCAGGTGGGAATCGAATCCACAACGTTCAGAACCAGGCACTGTCTGGAAGGATCAAGTAAAATCAATACCAATCGAGACCAATGTATTAAAAATAATCTTTTTTACTGTTTAAATAAATTATTATTGATTTTTAGAATCATTCAAACTTTTATCATAGTTTTTTTAAACCAGAAATTTTGTTAAGTTAAGCAAACTAATTCAACCATGATTTAGTATTATGTCCTTTGAATTCGATTTCTTGTTTGGAGCATTTTTTTTCTGAAAGTAGTAATTCCATAAATTTTATTCCCTTAATATGTCTCTAACTATTCATTTTGATTGTTTGCATTAATTCCTGAATTTACTGGAAATGGAATCAGAGATGGGAATCATGTATTATGTTAAAACAAAAAAGTCAGTTCTATGGACTTTGTAGATATAATTATCTCATATTTTGATGAAGGTTACGTTAAGAATATAGTGTTTCATGTGGTCAGCTGCTCTTAATTTCCTGTGATCTTAATTTATGTTTTCATGCTAAATTGACATCTTGCTTGTTTCAAAATACAGATGATATAAAAATGAATTTATTTACTTTTGGTATCTTTTCTATCAGTACTGTGATTAGTTTCTGAATAGTTAAATCTCCTAGATATCAGATTTTTGGATACTAAATACCTTTCTTGTAAATAACATTAAGATGTATGATGAACATCATATTTTTTGTTGTTTTGTTTTTAACAGGAAATATGCTAGTGAAGTCCTTATTTATATTTATAAACAATTATGAATAGTGTTTGGTTTGTTATGATGATTGTATTAACACTTTCTCTTTACTGCGTATAGTTTATACTTCCTAATTCGATGTATAAAATAAGTTGTAGCTTTGAAAATGAAATTCTATTATGGTTATCAAGGAAATACCCTTCAGAACATATAAAATTTTTCAAATGAGTGTCATTTCACATAAATAAATATTAAATTCTTTAATTAATTGAAAAATGAATACTCTATATTTTTATTGTATAAAAACATTTTATGAATTTTGACACTTCGATATTAAGAACTGCTTTGAATTATAAGTTTTTTTAGTTTTATCTGTTTTTGTTATTTTAACATGGTTTATTGTTTTCAGAAGCTGAAGAAAAAGAAAAAAGAGTTTCAGGAAAAACAAAAGCAAAAAAAATTGCTCTCGAGGCTTAATTTTTTGGTGGAAAGACACCAAGTTGCTGAAACTTAAGCTTTTGTACTAAGAATAAATATTCATTGTTCTTATTTGAAACCATTCATGAAAAGTATATTATTTTGTTATTGAGAAGAGATTTTTATGACTGTTGCTCGACTTAAATATTATATAAATTACCAAAGTTATTTTTGCTAAGTATGTATAATTATATATGTATATATTTGTAAATAATATACTGCAGTTATTAAAGAATCTTGATATGATTTTCCTTCTATATTATGCTTTATAAGATATAGTTTAACCGCAAACTTGCATTTAAAACATTTCTTATTATTTTTAAATAAATAAATTTATTTTAATCAATCATATATGAGGAAATAAATAAATCAATATATCCATATTAGGAAGCTTTGTGAAGTAGGATTTCAAAGTTATTCAATTTTAGAAGATCAAAAAGTATAAAACATTTTATTGGGTTACGGATTGACGAATAGTTGAGACAAATTTATCGATAATTTCTCTTGGAACTAGATGATAAATCAAGTATTTTTATAAAAAAAACTATCTTCTATACTTCTATATGGCAAAAATCTGATTGGTACCAACATATATATATATATATATATATTTTTTTTTCGGCTGGCACTACAGACCATGAAGATCTTTGGCTGCGAGATGTGGTCTCCTTACAGATGTGTGATACTTGCAGGAGCTCAGATAGCCTGGAGGTGGTTACCCAACCTCACGTTGCTACGAACCATGATTTCCATGGTGCAGCGGCAGGCCACCCGTAGCTCCATAGCCGATCCCTTTGGGGCCAATCTGGCAATGTCCTTCCCACTGATTTTCTCGGGTTCAAGGACAGTGACTTGGACTAGATTCATGGATTATGGCTGCTCGGAGTCAGCAGGCGCACGAGGACCTATATTTCTTTCCCCGAAACGAAACGTCCATGGACTGAACCTCAGGGGGGCTATTAACATCCTGGTAAACCACATCCCGATTCCCAATTTAAGTACACGGGGTAGGGTCATCAGTCCTATGCCTGGTTGGTGTGAGTTGCCTTCAGTAGATTGTCGAGCCTCACATACCCGGGGGGGGGAGGGAGGGGGAGAGACCGAAAGTCAATAGGTACCCTTAAGTTATTTCATCGCTCCTGCCACCTACAATCACAATCTATCCGCAAGCTCCTTATATCCTCTCTTATTTTTCTCCACTTTGACAATGGCTGTGTGGTGTATGGAGGCATCCCGATGGTACTGGAGGATAGATTGAAGCGATTCATGAATTCCTGCTTAAGATTTGTCTTTGCCACTTCGAGGCGGTCTCATGTGTCCCTCCTTTACGACGAGTTAAAGTGGCTCTTCCCTTCTTTCCGCAGACAATATTTCCTATTCCAAATGATCAACACCCGACACTTCTTACATCTACAGTTCAAACCCATGGTCCACTCCCAGAAAACAAGATCCTGTGTTTCCGACCTTTATATCCTTTCCCTTAGAATTAAGACATTTGAATATTCTTTTATTGCCCGATCCACTGCCTTCTGAAATTCCTTGCCATCTGATATCCGCCATGCCTTTTCCTTGTCCTCATTCAAATATCATCTCTATCTATTCCTTCTCACTTCCCAAAATGACATTGTATAATGAAATAAATATCATGAATAAAATTTTGACTGAAGTGAATGGTTTTTGAAATTGTTTTGAGTTTTAATTTTAAAAATCAACCCATAGTGCTTATAATATTTTGTTCTTTATTTTACCTGATTTCTGTTTTTCTTTTCATTTAAATAATGTTTGTTTTGTTTTTTCAAAATGGTGTTACTTTTTTATTTGTTATGAAATACTATCACTGAAGATACTGTATATATTCTTTAAGTTTGATTAATGTAATTTTTGGCCAGATGTTTTTATTTTTTGTTCATAATTGTTATTCATAAGGGACCTCGCCCCAGAATAAAGTTTATTTTCTGATCTATTCTATATATATATTGACACCTGACAATAGATAAGGAAGTGGAAGTTACAATTTATTGAATAATGATCAAAAGATCAAATGTTTTTGGGTACTAGAGAACTTCCATGCCTCAATTGAAAATTATTATAAGGTGTATTTAAAGAAGGACACAAAGGAAGTATTATAAAATGGAGATCAGCTGATGAGGTGATTATCAGAGGCAGAAAAAAATTATTGTAGCCTATAACGTTATCTTGAATTGATTTTACTTTAAAAAAATTTACTGTGACAAGAACATATCGTTGGCATCATGTTAAAGTAACGAATGTGCAACATTAAACAAGCTCACATTCGTTACTTTAACATGGTGCCAACAAGCGAACCTATGGAAAGGAGGAAGGGGGAGGCTTTCAGGCTGAAGCCCATCTCCAAAGCAATAAAACATAACTATGTTTTATGAAAAAAAAAAAATTATCTCTTAAAGTATTATTGCTTGTGTAATTACATTTAATAGGACTTCAAGAATTACTTAAACAACATTTCATACAGGTCGTTAGTTTCTTTATTAAAAAAAAAAAAATTATTGCTATATATATAAAAAAAAAAGCTCTCCGCTGAAGCCTCCCTCCTCCTTCCCAAAATTAAATCCTAGATCAGCTAGTGGTGCCAATGATACATTAAATCAGCCATGTAATTCCAATAATTACTTTACATTTTCCTATCTTTTCATTTCTAAATTTAAAAATAACCTGGAGGATGTTCTTTCATGTATCAGTGGAAGTGACCTTAAAAATTACTTAAAACATCACAAATATGTTATTGCTATTGTTATTGACCTATTTCATTAGGAGCAACCTTCTTCACTATCAGCTAATAGTTTCTTGAGGACAAAAACCTGGCTTCTGGTCAGTTTCTCAGTACATTCAAGCTGGATACTATGTTCCTGTGGTTTCTCTTAGTATTTACCACTTTATCAAAAAGTGTAGATAGTTTTGATAAACCTCGGGTCCAAACTGATTATGGTGAAGTGGTTGGTACACGTGGTACTACTCTGAAAGGAAGGGGATACAACGCCTTCTATGCCATTCCTTACGCAGACAAGCCGTTCAGGTTCGAGGTATAAATTTTAAACCTTTATTATGTACTACTTCTTTTTCTATGTTTCAATGGAATTTTCGATTTTAATTCAAAAGAGGGTAGTTTTAGGTTTGAGGTTCCGAAGGTGCAGGGGTATCCACTAGCGGATCCAGGATTTAATTTTTTGGGGGGGGCTTCAGCCCGAAAGATTTTTTTTTCATATACATATAACGATAATTAATTTGAAAAAAAAAAAAAGAAATTAATTACCCATATGAAATGGTGCTTAAGTGGTTCTTGAAGTCCTATTAAATATAATTACACGAACAAGAATACCTTAAGAGATAGTTTTTAGTATTTTTTCTGTAAAACATGGTTACATTTTACCATTTTGGGGGAGCTTCTGCCCGAAAGCCCCCCCCGTAGATCCGCCTGTGGGGGTATCCAGAAGAGACGTTAATGGCATAAGTCGTGCCATAAAGTTTTTTTAGAGTGACACATTATAATGGGGTTTTGAATTTTCGAGGACGGCACATTTGGGCGGAGTTATGAGTTTTCGGAGTGAATAGTTTCAAGCCAGGTAACGGGAAAACGTGGACCACATCACAACTAGTGTAATTGTATATTATCAACGATTTTGTAATTCTCATGCCTGGGCATCTTTGCGAATATATACCTTGTAGTAGTTTTAAATGTTTAAGAAGAGAACAATGCATTTTGCTTCCTCACTACCGAAGATTGAGAAGTATTTTTTTCTGGTGATAAAAATAATAATTGTTTTGAGAAATCATTCTGGTATTTATACTCGAGAGGTATTTCTTTCATCGAGCCCGTGATCGGTGTTTTCAGAAGAGTGATTGTTTTGTCAAATGCATTGGGCTTAAGTGACCCTCTTTCCTCACTTCCAATTGAACTAAAGTTTGCTGACCAAAATCCGAAATATTTGAAACTTGTGCAAAGTAGTTTGTTTTGTTCATGTTAAGTGGATTAACTTGAACTCCCTTTGTAGAGAGAATACGATGACCGAGCACGTTTGGGAGAGGGTCCCACAATGGTCAGTCATAGCGTCATAGGTTCGATTTTTTCTTGGTTAATCAATATTTTTTTCTCTCAGGCCACAAAGAAGTTAATATTGACACTTCTACTCTTGTTACTATAACGTTGGTTTATTGCAAAAGGTCATAAAGTGACATTTGATTACCTTAAATCTCTAGGAACTTTAACAAATTTTCTCATTGTGAAATGGGCAAATTGTGTCTTATTGTAACTATACTCTATATTTAAAAGGGTCTGTATCATTTTAGTGCACATAATATATTTTTTAATCGATAAATATAGTCGAAATTCACAAAAACTTTCTTAAAATTTGAGCTCCTCCAAAAATGTACTCAGTGATCTTTTATACAACCCAACGACGTACACATTTTCCTTACAAGGATGAGAATTGACTTAACTAATGGGCCATTCACACGGCAAATAAAAACTACAGATTGCTGAATATATATAGCCGAAATCGAATCCAGCCCTCACAAATTGAGGCCAAATGTTGGTCAATATTTCTAGGAATATTGCAGAGTAACATTTACGGCAATAGGTTAACGAAAAAATTTTTTTTGTAACAAGACCACGATTCTGTAATTTACGCATATGAAAATGGACGAACTAGAATTAGTGGAAATCAGAGCAGCTTTCTTACTGTTGCGATCCGCAATGAAAAAAATACGAAAAAAAGAAACCGGTCTGTGGAATTTTTTTTTTTTAAGGAACCGAATAGCTTCCGAAAATTTAAGATGTTACGGAAAAGTTTCCAGATAAAATGAAACTCCTATTATCATATGCAAACCATCTATTAAATGTTGCACTTACTCATTTTTGTCCATTATAACTCGGTTCTATAATTCCGAAACTTTTTATTAGTATCAGGAAGGTTGAATTTTATGTACCATAAGAATGGTCGTATATCGGCTGCATTTATAAAAAAAAATCCTTTCTATATCGCTTCAGTTAAGTTATTATTAAATAAAATAAAAGGTTTTGAATTTTTTATGGTACACATTTCGAAAGGGTTATAAATTTTTGGAATGAAAATTTTCAAACCAGGTGGTGATTGGAAAACATGGAACAGACTGCAGTAATTTAATGTGTATGATCTACAATTTTCTTAAGTCTACTTTCGCTTATACTGTTTTTAGGAAGCGGTGAGCAATAAAATATCTTGGGAACAGGGGAAGCAGGTTCATTCGCCATCGATCTTGTGGAGTGGGTGGACACGACTGAAACATACGCATTCGAAAAGTGTGAAAGGATGAAAGACAGGAGAAAGGGAAAGAGTGAGTGAGCGTGGATCACCCACAAAGACAGAGACAGGTGTGGCCGGGCCATATAAAACATTCTCTAGCCTTTCGGTAACATCTGCAACACATGAATCTCCAGTCCAAAAAAACCGGTCCATTCGTAAATATTCAATCCATATAGCTGTATATTGCCGCAATATTAATAGCAACACTATTGTTGACTTACAATGCAATTGAATATTACCCATTTCAATTCCCACTTAAAAAACTTCAATATGGTATTCTTCATAAGCTATGATATTAATATTCATATTCAAGCTTCATATTAAAATAAACTGCTCTGAATTTTACCAGGAAGCGCGAGAACCGAAACCTTGGACTAAACCTTTGGACGGCAGTATACCTCCACCAGACTGCAAGCAGTTCAGAAAAGGCATGCCCAGTGGAAGCGAAGATTGCCTCTACCTAAATATCTTCTCACCAACTGTAAGTTGGTAACGTTTGCTTTTTATTTTGTTTATGTCTACAATTTTATTTGAATACAATTCTAAACAATCATAAATAACTTTACAAATTTTCAAAATTAAATTTAGGCGGGTGGCTTGCGAAGAGGAGCAACAGCAAGAAAGATATTGATTGAAAGGTCATCAGAGGTAGAAAGTTCATACGGAATTTAAATTCTGTTTTATGAAATAAAGACTTCATGCTCAAAATGAAGAAAGAGACTACGCCATTTCTTTGTAGTACGCATTGTATTATATGCCTCAGAAACCTGGATGATTTCAACCGACTTAGCAAGAAAATTGTTATCGATGGAGATGGATTTTTGGAGACGTAGCTGTCGAATATCAAGACTGCAACATATTCCAAATAATCCCATTAGGGATAAAGTAAACAAGCCCCTCATCATTCTGTACTACATCGAGACAAAATAGTGAGTTGGTTTGGACATGTAATGAGAATGACCGACGACCGATGGCCACAAAGAATGCTTCAGCGTGTACCATTGGAAAGGCGAACCAGAGGTCGCTCGGAAAAGAGATGAATGGAAGGTATACATGAGGACATTAGGAGCAGCAAGGGGAATCAGGGAGGAAGACTGTTATGATACAAAATAAAAATGGTGATATGGATTAGGTCACGACATATGAACTTAAAATGTTCTATATAAAGTCGTTTGTATGTATATATATCTATATAAATTTATTATTAAAAATGAATACAAAAATTACATTGTTGTAAATAAATAATACAATTGTGAACATCTTCTGATCAATGAAAAATACTTCCGTACATACATGGCTTGGTAAAAAAAGAAAATGTATTGAATGAAAAATAATTAATAAAATAACCACTTTTGTATACATATGAAATAAAATAATAAATAAATGTATATACCTAACATTTATCATATCGTATCATCATATTATTATAAAGAAGGAGCCTCTTTTTCGTTCGTAACAGCTAATCTCGAAAACTACTGGACGGAAGTATCCCCGGTTTTTTGAAAAATGATCCGTGTTGATGATGATCTATTGAATTCGCCGATTTATCTAGTAGAAAGAATGTAAAAGAATATTTTGTAAAAAGTTCAGATATTATGTTATTACATTATTACATAAGAATTACAAATATGATATCAGGATATTTATAGTTATTTTATTATCATTTACATTCTGAAGATTTTATAAAACAGTTGTAAAAATATTGTAATTTTATTTCTTACTTCGAAAAAACCAGTTGAAAGACAAAAGAAAAGCGAAAACTAAAAAATTTCTTGTGGATCTCATCATATTTGTGGCATTAGTAAGGTTTTTGAGTTTTTACCTATTGTTCCGGTTGCCATTGTTAGTTTAATACTTGCGATAATGCTCCTTTCCTATCATAAAGGAGAAAAAAAAGTTTTACACCCGAAATTATTAGGCAATTCGTTTGCACCAAAGTCAAAGATCACTCCAAAATGATTCTCGGAACGAAAACTATTCATCTTCCTGAACGTTCCAGATACTCAATTGGAAGGTAGTTTAATTGTCTACAAACCTAAACATGAAAAAAAAAAAAAATAATAATCAAGCCAACATTAGTGAAGGGATATTAAATATTTTTGTGCTGAACCTTACTTGTGTTGTATTATAAGCAGTAAGGAAAGTGAAATTAGTAGACACACTGATGCACTGTGTATATAACCATTTGGAAGCGATCAACAACATTGTAATAATTGGCAAAGTTTCTCTAATGTCTTTTCCGCTCTACTTTTAATTTATAGTTAATAGTTAATAGTTCGTTACTTTTAGTACTATTTCAGACTTGAGTTTACTACCATTTAAAACCCATATTCATAATCAATTATGTTTTAAAGAAGCAATTTTTCTGTAACAGCAAATATGACCTTAATTAAATCTGTTCTTTTGATTTTTACAGAACTTGAAGAACAGCAGCGAACCCCTTCCGGTGACGATATTTGTCCATGGCGGGGCATTCTACTTCTATTCCTCCACCACGTTTGGTCCTCGGTATCTCCTTGATAAGGATATCATCTTGGTTACTATAAACTATCGCATCGGTATATTCGGTAAGCGGTTTGTGTTGAACAGGTGTGTCCCTGATAGGAAGCATGGCCAAAATTGCAACATCCAAGTACCATTTTTGTAGAGAAGCATCTTGTGAAGTTTCAATAACTTTCACTTTTAAATTAAATAAGCAGTTTATTTTTAAAAGATATAATAATAATAATAATAAAATATGTTAAATGGCTATTTTTTATTTTAAATTTCCGTCTATCTATGGATGTTAAATAGTTAGTAAAATAATTTATTTTTACTACATTTTACATTTCTTTATTTAAATGTAAAATAGAGAAAAAGGAAAATAATTAATTTGTTTTAATTATTTATAAGTCCATTTACTGGTTACTGTACTAAATTGTTTAATATATTTTTTGAATGAATCATCAAGAATGGTATAACTACCTTCCAGATTATCTGAAATAAATATTACTATACCTAGGCTTCCTGTGCACGGAGGATGAAGTGGTACCAGGTAACAACGGAATGAAAGACCAGGTGATGGCATTCGGTTGGGTTCAAAGGAACATCGCCCATTTTGGAGGAGACCCGACTTCAGTCACTTTATTGGGATTTTCAGCGGGGGCTGTCTCTATCCACTACCACTATTTTTCTGTTCTATCCAGAGGTACCATTTATAATGCTACTCTTGTTAATTATAATGTTATGATGAAATTCCAGTGATTGAGTTTAGGGTTAATAAAATATCGAAAAATCGATGAATTTATATTTTTGAAGAGAAATATCGTAGTATACTGATGTCATTTTATATCAAATCAACCAGGGCCAAAACCCAATGGATCCTGGATTTTGATGAATTTTAGGTTATTTATTGAATCCATTAATATTGAGTAAAATACAAAAACTTTTTTTTGGAATTACGGTTTTTGAGTTATTCATTTTTAAAATAATAAAAAAACCTCGATAAACGGTGAGTTTTTAAAAATAGTTTTAGGGCTATTTCTCAAGAACTATTCGACCTAGAAAGTTGAACCAGGTGTCATCTTTTTCAGTTGTTTATACCCTTTCTTTTGGTGTACAACATGTCTATATTCTAAAAATATAATATTTTTCAAAGAAAACCTTTATTTTTCAATTTTTGAAAAGAAAAACCTTTTGATTTTTATTTAAAAGATATATATTATTCTAACATGTGTTGGCTAAAAGTGTAGAAAATTTCAAAGTGGAGAAACAATGAGTTCACAAGATATAAAATTTTGATCTACAATAAGTTCACTAAAAACGCTGTCAAGATCCGGCAATATTAAAACATACATAGTTTTTACTTTAAATTTATGTATCTTTATTTTCATTTTAATAATACTCACGTGTAAGTTTATCTAAAGAAAGAAAAACTTGAATACAGAATATAGTCAAGTCCTATATATATATATAAAATAACATAAACAACTGAAAAATATGACACCGGATTCAGCTTTCTAGGTCAAATAGTTCTTGAGAAACAGCCCTAAAAATATTTTTAAAAACGCATCATTTATTGAGGTTTTTATTATTTTAAAAATATATAACTCAAAAACCGTAAGTCCGAAAAATCTAAAATTTTGTATTTTTCTCTATATTAATGCATTCGACAAATAACCAAAAAAATGATCTAAATGCAAGACCACCTGGATCAGCCGCTGGTTGATTTGATATGGAATGACCCAGAACAAACTTTCTCCAAATTCATAAGTAACTAAACTTTCTCTTGACAAATCAATTTGCTTTCTTTGGGTTTGTACCGAGGTTTGAAAAATGCTTTCAGAGTCCAGTAGATTCTGTAATAGGTGTTACACAAAAGAAAAATTAGGCTATTGAATCACAGTACTGTTCGACCATGCTTCTAAGAATACAGTAAAATTACGAATCCATATAAAGAGCCCAATGTTATTGGAACGACTTATTGTTATTTTTATTTTATTTGACGACCCATCTAAATAACGGTCTAGTAGCAAAAAAAAAAAAAATAAATGTCTTGATTATTGTAAATTTGTTATTTTAAAGTTTTGTTAACTGCTATTATATTTGAAAAATACCGTACCTTATGTTTAACTTTGAACTAAACACCAACGAGTTGTAACTGAAAAGGGGTAAAGCGGTTTTAAAAAACAACCGCGTGAATCGGTTATTTCTGAATAGCCCGTGTGAAATTTTTACGGGTTTTGAGTTGGATTTTGGATACATTGTTCACAAAAACTTATTTCAATACAAAAAACACATTACATAAATAATTTAACTATTGATTATTTCCGCTAAATGGTTATTCGTGGACTTTTAACAATGGGAATTTCATTATAAGATAACTTTTTTGGATGTTTTTAAAAAGTATAAAAATATTACAAGTATTGCTTCTGAAACAATCGATTCATATTTGGTTACTACATCAATAACATTATTGATATTCCAATTAATTGTACCCAATTTATTCAGTGCCCCAAGAATTTCTCCTGTCACTAGAGTTGATCCCTGGAGTCAGGGACAAGTTCGAGTTTGGCTTGGCATATATTTTTTATTCTGACTATGGATCAAAACTCATGAATATTTGGCTAATTGTATTACGAGGTTTATCTGGGAGCTTGGTAAAAAAGCGTATTGAGGTGGTCCTGAAGGATTCTCGAATTAGATGTGGTTCTGCTTATAATCTATACTTTGGGGTCGAATTTTATTTCAAGGCTGTACAACATAATAAATCTGGAGCCCATACTTACTCGAACAGATCTGTAACATAGAATAACCCCTACGACCTCTATGTTCTAGTTTACATAAGAATCTATGAAGAACCAATTCAATTTTGCCTATTAATTTAGTGTTATGTGTGATTTCGTTTCCTCATGTGAATTTTAAGAAGCCATTATCTAATCAACTTTGAAATTATGTATATTATAAGAAATTATCAGAATGACGTTAAAAGTGAATTGTTGAAAGGTTTGTTTCATAGAGGCTACCTCGTTGGCGGTACCGCCTTCAACAACTGGGCAGTTCAGAAAAACAGCCTTCAGAAAGCAATGACATATGCTGAGTCCGTCGGATGTCCAACTTCATCCGTTCCTAAGATGGTGAGGTGTCTGAAAAAGGCACCAGCTGATAAACTAGCGTCTGCCACTTTTCTGTTTCTTGTAAGTAGCGTTATCATTTTTTCAAATCAAATTGGAAAATGTTTTGTTGTTACTTAACATAACTAGGCAGACATGATTTTTTTAATGTTTTAATAATAATTTCCTTGTTGGCGCAGAAGTTCCTTAACACCCCTTTATGCCCGTGGGGTCCGGTGGTTGACGGGGGATGGTCAAGAAATCCGTTCTTGTTGGAGTACCCGATCCAGTCGATTCTCGCCAACAGGCATTACAACGTGCCCTTAGTAGTGAGCGAAGCAATGTTTTCAGGTCTTTTTCCTGTGGCAGGTAATTAATAGATGAACTCATTTTTGATTTATTTATTAAATCAATACATTATCCACTATCGTACTTCCAATGACTGCAATTCAAGTCCTCATTTCACTCCCTTACAAGATACAAGAATAAGCCTTTTCACATATATGTCTTATTTCAATATTTCCCGCTCAATCATATTCTGGAATTTCCACTCTCTTAGACCCGGCATGCCCCTTTCTTTTTCGCATTAAAAACTCCCATATTTCATTTCCTCTTCATAACACATTCATACACTGGATAACTATATGTTATGTAACAAGATTTTGTTTTTTATCATTCAAATTTTACTCACGAACACGGACTTGAGTTTCCAACGATTACATTTTTTATTGAAACTAGGAGGGGTACCCCCAGTCTATCTATCGGTGGAACAACCCCCATTTTACAAATTATACAAATGAAAAAAGTGTATGAAAGATAGAAATTGTTAAAGAAGAGAATAATTGAACTCTTTCTTCCTGAACAGTTAAAAAAAAAATATTATCTGAGACTACGGCGCAGTATCTGGAAACCCGCACGGCGGCAATGCTGTGCGTGCATTCCACCTTATATGTAAATTAAAATATAGATCACACTTGTTCATAAAATAGAGAGATTAAATTTTCTCTTCGTGCCCCTTGTTTTCTTTACATAAATACTATATATAATTGCAAGATATGTGTTTTTGTTTATATCTAAACAATATTTTGGTAATCGCATTCTATTTTTTCATCTTAAACATATTAAATTTTAAAAATCACGTATTTCCTACTTCTTGATTTTGTAATTATTTAATTACAAAGCTTTTTGTTGACATCTGCAATTAACTGCTTAATATATCTCGAAAAGTCATACTTTTCAGCTCATTTGTGATTTGTTTTAAGTAGGAAACTAATGTTCCTCAAGGGAATTTGTAATAACTATAGATACAAATATTCTCGTATCGGTTTCAATATTTGGAAGCGCGCCTTTTTTTTAATCTGTTGTTTCTAGTTCATTTAGATAAAAAATAATTATATTTTCTTTACATCAGATCACCAAATAAACGATAGGTTAAAGGCAAAAAATTCAGCTCAAGCCCAGCTGTCATCCCTGTAGCATGCAGGTATTTCTTTTCAGCTCTATTTCAACTCTTCCAAATTCTAGATTTTCAAAGAAAGTAATAAAAACCACATCCATGGTTCGATTTCCTCATAGGACCTCAATTGCTCTTTAAGGTGATCTGTAGAAAAGTACTTACTTTAAATATTTATTGCAAGTTAGTTGAATAGTTGTTATACATCCTGCCATAAAAAAGCGCCCTACATGGGTTTCTAATTCTTAACCTTTAAAATTTTTGTCAAAATCGGCCATTGCTTAGTCCACTAGTACCGGAGTTAGGTGGCCCTTCTGAATCTTCCCAAACAGCTTAGCTTAGAGTTATTAACATTTTGCATGGGCCCTCAGCAATTAGTAGTTGGAATAATGTGCACTAAGTTTTTCAGGAGTACGATGTTGAAATGATACAGCATTTCGGCATCTTTGTTACTAGAGTTCATCGAGCGCAACGACATCATACACCAACTGGACGACAACTGGGAAGAATTGGGTTCGTACTTCCTTGACACGGTAGATACAGTCCCTTCCGAACTTCAAACCCGGACCTTAGAACAGATCCGATTCTTTTATTTTAGAGGAAAATCCTTAATACAAAACCGGTCGGCGATCATTAAGGTAATTTTTTTTATAGCTTTTGTTTTTGATATGTATCGAGATATATTCATGTATTTATGAAAGTATATACGATCCCAGGTTGCGACAGACAGACTTTACCAGGCAGACATCGGAAGGTCCTTATCAGTTCATGCCACAGTCAACCCCAGGATATATTTCTACATGTTTAACTATCGCGGTGCCAAAAGCAGTTCTGACTCATTATCTGGCACCGAAAACAATTACGGTGGGTTATGTTTTTTTTATCTTATCTTAAACATGATGATAGAAATGATATATTAATTTAATTTTCAGCAGACTACATTCATAAATCATAAAGGCATGTTTTCATAAATGGATTTTTTTTTTTAGTGGGTCTATATTTGTTTTTTGGAGTGATCTGAGATAGATACTGAATCATTCAAAATATATACTATTTTTAAATATCATTCATATTTCCGCTGCTATATGTCAAGAAAAATATATCCTATATAAAAGCATTATTGTTCTTCTAATCACAGTTTTTTTCACAAAATAAAATCACTTAAATATTATTCTTTCTTATTTTTTCTTCCATAGAAATTAATATTATTAAAATAAAAAAATATCATGTCCCCAAAATTAAATCTTAGTTCCACTACTGGCTTTTGCCATATATCTAATTATTATGTTAGTATGTCTATGTAGACTTCATCATAATTTAAAACACCAATCATTAATTAATTAACAGAAATCATTTTATTTTTATTTATTAATTTTCTTATATCTCAGTATTTATTGTATATATCTGTATTTATCGTTAGTATGTTTTGTAGATATTTATATTTTCCTTTTTATTTTTTGTTTATATTTGTATTTTCCTTAGTATCTTTGTGTGTTTGCAATTTTCTATTTATTTTGTGCATATTTGTATGATACTTACATGCCAGACTAATGTACATATTTTTTAAACTATAATATTATTCTAAGGGGACTTCAGTCCCAGAATAAATTTTTTTTTTATTATTTATTTATATGATATTTACAACTGTATACAAAAAATACATCTGGTAAATTCGCACATGCATATAATGACATGGAATACATGTTGAGAAACTACCCATTGGTAGCACTCTAATAATATGTCTATATTAGAAGATCATGTGGCCATCTTCTTTTCAGACGCCTCGGAGGGTTATCAGAAATCGAATAGGAAGCAAGGTTAGAGACAAGAGGGTTGGGATGGTTATGAAGTTTATTATGGAAGGACAGATATCTGGATTGGGCCAAATCTGATACAGAAGGAACATTAAGGTCATTATGGATAATTTTATTTGTAACAAAGTAAGGAGCATTGAGGATTTTACGAAGGATTTTGGATTGTAAGGATTGTATGCGAGAGGAATTTGAAGGTTTGGTAGAGCCCCATAGCTCCGATAATATGTCTATATTAGAAGATCACGAAGCTATCTTCTTTTCAGACACCTTGGAGGATTATCAGTTATCGAAGAGGAAGCAAGGTTTGAAATAAATGAGAGGGTTCGGATGGTTTTGAAGTTTGTTATGGAAGGACAGGTATCTGGATTGGGCTAAATTACAAACATATGGTACATTAAGGTCGTTATCAATATTTTTATTTGTGACAAAGTAAGGAGCATTGAGGATTTTATGGTGGATTTTGGATTATAAGGATTGGATACGAAAGGAATTCGATAGTTTAGTGGAGCCCTAAAGCTCAACTCCGTAAGTCCAAATAGGCCTTATTATAATCATGTAAATGAGTCTTTTATAATTGATTGGAAGGTTAGAGCGTTTGTCTAGTAAGTGTTAAAGTAGTCGGAAACGTCGAGCTGTTTCTTGTCGTTTCAGTCTGGTATGAGGATTCCAAGTTAGACGTTTGTCCAGATGGAGTCCTAGTTAACGGATTTGTACAACAGGAATAAGTGAGGTGTTGTTAAAGGATACTGTAGGACAGGAAGTCATTGGTTTACGACGAAGTGTGAAGGTGATTTGGTGGGATTTATTGGAATTAATTTTAATTCTCCAGTTCTGACACCATTCTTCAAGGTTTGTGATGTGGGATTGAAGGGTTTGGGATGCAATAGATGGGTCGTTATTAACTGATAGGATACATGTGTCATCAGTATATGTGGTGATGACAGTGTTGGGATGGGTTGGGATGTCAGCTGTATAAACTGAGTAAAGGATATGACCTAGGATACTACCTTGAGGAACACCTGCAGACTGGGAAAAGCGGGATGTATAGACATTGTTGTGATTTACTTTAAAGTATCTATCAGTAAGGTAGGAACGGATAATGAGGAAGTATGTAGATGGTAGGAATTTTCGGAGTTTGTACAGCAGTCCCGGGTGCCATACTCTATCAAACGCCTGTTAAACGTCGAGAAAGACTCCCGTACAGTACATACCGCGCTCCAATGCAGAGGATACTACGTCTACCACACGATGGCATTGCTGTATAGTGGAATGGGAGGAGCGGAATCCAAATTGATGATCTGGGATCATGTGATTAGAATCTAGGATTGGGTGCAGGCGTTTTAAGATTAGTTTTTCTAGGATTTTTCCCATGATGGGTAACAGAGAGATGGGACGGTAAGAGGATGGATATTCTTGTGGCTTTTTGGGTTTGTGGATCATTTTGACAATAGATATTTTCCAAGGGTCAGAGACATATGTGGATCGGAGTACAGAATTATATATGAAAGTAAGGAATAGGATGGCTTTTCGAGGAAGAAGTTTCAAGATCTGGGATGTTATTAGGTCATGTCCAGGAGCTTTGCGGGAGGGTAATCTTTGATGTTGGATATTTCTGTGGGATGAAATGCTTTAGGTGGAAGGGACATTTGGAGAGGAGTATCCAGTTCTGATTCAATACATTCGATGTGGGTTGGGTTAAGGATATCAGGATGTGGGTTGAAAATTTGGAACAGATGTTGACCGAATAACTGGGCTTTTTCTTCGTCGGATTTGGACCAGGTTTGGGATTCAGTAAGAAGTTGGTGATTAAAGTCTTTAAACTTCAGAAGTTTTTTGGTTGTCGTCCATAGTGATTTGTCAGTTGTTGTAATATTTTCAGTTAGATTCAGTAATTGTTGAGTTTTATATTTTCTGATTTCTGATTTTAGTTTATTAGTCAATTCGGTATAGTACGTTTTGTCTGAAGGATATCTAGTCCTGTGCCACTTCGATCTTGCTCTGCGTTTATCCCTTAATAAGGTTCGAATATGCTGTGGCAAGTTAATATGTCTTCAATTATTGCTTTTATTATTAACAAATGTGTTATTAGAATAACATTATTTTTCATTTCAATTAATTTTTGTAAAATATTTATACCTTAAAAAAAAACGGATGATATGAGATCATTTTTTTTTTTTTCCTTTATAGGTTAATATTTTTTATGAAATTTCATTATTGAGATATATTACAATCTGTCACATTCAATGACAATAGTAATAGTGATAAAGAGTAGCTTATCCATAATATGCACAATAAATAAAAATAATAAACAGCAATGGGATGATATTAAAATTATAATTCGTTTGGTACGTTTTACCTGGGAGAAATGGTTTTTGAAAAATAAATCTCAGACGTTTATAGTTAGTAGAGAAATAATTTAAAATATTAAAGAGTTAAATGGTAGATTTTTAGTCTTAGATATTATCGATTGTTTGTAGATAATGGATTTGAGAAATATCTGTTAGACTCATAATGTTTCGGATAGGAGTGATGTATGTAAGGAGGGCCATAAAACTGTTTTATGAAGAATGCAATTAATTCTGATTTCTTATTGAAGTATATCAATACTTAAAGTTATCCTTTTGAGCACTTTCTGATTCTAAATTATGTTTGTCAAATTTGAGATTATTACCTAAATTAATTCCAAGTATCCAACGGATTTCGCGAGATGTGTTTTATCCTGATTTTATATAATTTTCGATTTAAGGAACTGATTCAAAAAGCCACTTTCTTGAATTCACTTGCGAAAGTACATATACATACTGTAGCATAAAAAAAATGATTTTTTTTTGGAAATTATAAAAAATAACAAAATCATGATAGTGAATCCTTTCGTTTAAAATTTTGACCATATTTTTTGTTATTATTAAAAAACTAAATTATTTTAACAAATGTTGCAGGCGTATCTCATATTGATGATACTTACTACCTTTTGAATCAGTCTATTGGAGGACCAATAGAAAATGACAAAGTTGGGCTTAAGATGATCGATGCTATGACAGAAATGTACTATCGTTTTGCGAAAACAGGGTAATTGTAACTTTAATTATAAATTAAATTAATAAGTTAATATATTTTTTTGCATTTGTATTTTATAGTAAGTGTACGAAAATGCAGCTGAACAATATCAAGATAAACATTTTGGAGGAATTCCTAATAGTATATCTTAAGAATACATTGATTGTTAACATGTATTAGGAAATTTTTCTTTTAAAAATATTGATTGAAAACTATATGAGACGTTCAGTTCCATATTAGTGTTAGTGCACGTCTCTTAACTCGTCAATGACAGTTTATGAACCTTGCCATTAAAGCACTATCGATAACTTCGTGGTCTATTATCGTTGAATACTTTAACTCTTGTACATGAATTAAGCTGCTCCTTCATCCATAATAACATCCTATCCCTTTTTTCGAAAAAAAATAAAAAAATAAAAATCTGGTATTGATGATCTTGGGGTTATATGGCCTTTTAACTACAACAAACAAATTAAAAATCTTTTACTCTTTTCTTTCATCATTTATTTTATCTACTGTATATATTGTTCTTCATATTATATTTCTAGCTTAAAATATTTATCTCCATCCATCACAAACTGTTGAAAATCAGCAGATGGTCTGACAAAAATAATAAAACTGATATGACAGACATGGGGGACAGCATTCAGTATCTTCCCAGGTTTGATTCAATTACTCATACCATGGTTTTAGTCCGTGGTACAGACCTCTTTTTATCGAATTATTAACATCCACCTGAAACTTCGTAAATAGTTTCATCTCATCGTAACCTACAACTATTTATTTACGAAAACTCTTAGATTTGGGGCGTTTTCCATCTGGAGGGGGCAGGCTTTGTCTATTTAATTAGGTACAAAAAACTCGTGAATACCCATTTCTTTTACACTTGGAACGTAACATAATTTGATCACAAAATCGATAAAAAAGGTGGCCTACAAAAATATTGGGCCGTTTGTCCTATATAACCTCGTTATTTTGAAAATTTGGAGGTGTAGGTCATGTCAAACGGCCCAATATTTTTAGGGGCTACCTTTTCTTATCGATTTCATGATTAAATTATGTTACGATCCAAGTAGTAAATAAATGGGTATTTTACGAGTTTTTAGTACCTGATTAAATAGACAAAGTTTGCCCCCTCCAGATTGAAAATGTCCGAATTCCAAGAGTTTTCGCAAATAAAATAGTTGTTGGTTACGATGAGATGAAGTTATTTACGAAGTTTCAGGCGGAGGCTAATGATTCGATAAAAATTGGTCTCTATTTGTTAAGGAAGGAGATTTCTCAACAAACTCCAGGAGGTTTTTAGGCTTCTCCTCACATTGATAGGCATGCCAGTTGAAGCCATATCAATTATTATTATTTCCGAGTAAATTAGTATAAAATCGTTGGCAAAGAATCCTTATATGTTAACTGTTAGCAGATGGAAATCACTATGTTAGTTTTTCTTTTTTAGTCACGTACCAAGGTGCTTTAGTTGTATCGTAGTATTTTTGATTGGAAAGTTGAAGTTTTGTAAGTGGGCATTTGTTAGCTATACCATATTTCTGTGAGGAGTGTGTCCATATAGGTTTAAGGAAGTATAGGTATATATTTAGTGTCCTTCTTAGTTTACATCAATTATTAAAATTGATATTTATTAATAGCTAAAGATAATCTATATTCCTAAATTATTGTATATTTTTTAAAATTTCATCTTGACGCAGCTGCTACGACTGGTTATGCACTGCTGATAATTTCAATGTAATGACTGAAAATTTGTTACATGATTCTTGGAATTCGACGGTCAAGACATAATCCTAATTAGAATAACGATGAAATTAGTACCAAATAATTTTTGTATTTTGTCCTGACGAATGAATTTTGGAATTTCAGTTTGTTAGTTAGTGGTATTTGAGAGGTACCGTTTTTAGAATTTTCTAATAATATCTTTTATCTTCTTTTTTTTATATTTTGAATTTTTTGTTTCCTCACTAATATAATTCACTGAAACCATAAACATTTTTTTTTAAAAATAATAATCACGTATAGCCTATTTTGCTAGATACTATGACTAAGCAGCATAACTAATGGTCAAGAAATGAACTCCATTTTGGGATGAGCTATTTCCAGCCACAGAGAATAATTAGCCAAGGTTGGTCTCTGTTAGAGCTGATATACTTCCAGTCTAAGAATGTAATATCTATCTTAGGTATATATTCTTAATATATATCTTATCTAAGTATATATTCTTAAGTGATAGTTGATCCAAGAGGTGCTTTAACCCTAAAGTCCTCCTTCCTTCCCAAAATATAAAAAATAATTTAATTTTAATTAGTCAAACAATGCACTGTCTTTAGATCATAACAATGTATTTCAGCTACTAAATGTAATCTCATATCAAGAAAAATATACTAAAAAATATCCCCTAAAATCACTATTATTCCTGTTATCAAATATTTTTGTCATACCATCAAACTCAATTTTAATATTATTTTATAGAGTTTATTTCTTTTTCTTACAGAGTAATTACCATTATTAAAAATTTAAAAAAATAAATAAAACTAAGTCGCCCCCAAAATTAAATCATGGATTCCTTCTTATTATTTGGTACATTTTGTCTCTCTTGTAGAGTTGTTGATACATTTTGATGGTTCAAATTGAATAAATGAAATTGATAGCTCAATTTCAAAGGGGATTGCTTTGCTCAAAGCATCGATGAAAAATTATATTTTCTCATAAAACAAAAAAAAAAAAAAAAAATGAAGAACGAATATCATAGGAAAATATGTAGTTTGTTGTCCTGCAAATATGAAATATTTCCCTCCATTGTCAAAAATTACGTTTAACCTAAAATATTTTTTTAAAGGCTTTGAAATAAATAATTCTGCCCTTTTTTCATAATTTTTAATCTTCTGAATTAAATTTTTAAAAAATCTTTGTCATTGAGATTAGTTTAAGTACAGTTTAATTATTAACCTTAGATATTATTGAATTTGTTTTTCTTCCTTGTTTTTCTAAACAAAAAATTCTGTAGTCTCTGTTTTTTTTATGGAATGTTATACCAACCTCACTAGATAAAACGGTATTTTATAATTCGTAAAGCGTTCAATAAAATCTTTTCGAGACAACTAACACTAAAATAAAACAAATATTTTAATATATTATCAATAGAAATATATTAATCTTGAGTGTAGTAGTTAAAACCGTTACGAAATGAGTTTCTGCTTCTATTTTCTATATAAAGAAAGGTTTTCCAAATATGTATATCTATTTAATTCTCTAGAAATGATCCTCGGTCTATCTAAATTGCTTATGTGGAACTAATCACTCGTACGTCACTTTGTTATAGATAAAACCGTCAAGCATCAACTTTTACATCCTCTCACTTTATGAAAATAAAATAAAGGCGATAAAAATAAATTAATTAAAGTTTAATTTCCTAAAATAAAAAAAATCTAATCAAGTATAAAAAATGCTTCCTCTAGAACAATATATTTATTATTTTAAATTCTTCACATACTTATTTTTACTCTAATCACTATGAAACCTAGTTAGTTATAAACTATACATGTTTAACATTCTTGTCCTCATACATTTTTACTGGGCTTCCAATGCTTAAGTTCCTAGGTTCGAATCCCGGCCTACGTAGACCCTCCTAGGGCACACCCAGGCTCTATAAAGTGGTTACTCTTAATTAAAATAATTAATTGAGGGAAAAAACCTGGCGGTTGAGCGGGATCTCAGTCAAATCTCCTCCTTCCACAACTGTGAACCAAGAAACAGTGCTTTCCCTAAATAGTACTGAATCCAAGATCCTTCACGGGCTGTAGTGGTACAAGGTTTTTTATTTTATTTTTTGTGCCCTGAAATATTGGTCAGGGGAAACGTTTATTAAATAGCGAAAACTCAGGGAATTTTACTTTAACAGTTTTGTAACCACCCTGTGATCATATTTGTAGTTTTTGCATGCTTGCAATTGAAATTTACATTAACATAGAGATCCAATTTCTAGTCATTACGTATTATATATAATTTAAATTTATGTTTTACAATAGCATTTCCTTTTTTCTATGTATCTATTCTATTTTTTCTATGTATATTTTTACTTTATTTTATATTTGTATATTTATATCTTTATCTAATCATTTTTCTTGTATCCTCTATCTATTGCAGTCACTCGGTTCTTTTAATTTACCTTCATTCTCCTTATCTCTTTTATTTATTTTTTTCTTCTCGTTGTTATTATTCATTTTTCTAACCTCTGAATCGAGTTTTTCAATATTTAAAAAAAATATAATTAAAATGACTTAATGACCAACAGATTTTTATCATTAATCGTCCATTAACTCCAGTAACTAACATATAATCAATTATAAAATTACAGGAGACCTGTGTTCTTGAAGGACGTGGGCTGGCCTCCCGTTAGAGGTGAGATGCCTTCCATTCGCTTCCTGAGGATAGACTCGCCGGACAGCGCGGTGTTGACCACATCCAGGAACCTCGGCAACTACAAGTTCTGGTCAGGTCTTCCGATAAATGAACCTTGGGCTGGCAGAGTACTCACATTACCTTAGCTTACATTAAAATATATTGTATTATAATTGATTAGGAATGATACTTAACAAAGAGAAATGTATTCATATTTTCAAATATTAAAATATTGAAGATATTTTATAAATTGTATTACTCGAGTTCACTGGATCTCACAGTATCATCATCATCATATGTGGCACGACATCCCGTTACCGAGACTGAGTCTCCTCCAAGAGCCTCCGCTAGTTGGCTCTGTCTTCTGCTGCAGCTCTCCAGTTCCGTACACCAAGCAGGGTTCTCGCATCATAGGCCACGTTGTCCAACCATCTCGTCCTCGGCCTTCCTACCCGTATTGCGAGGTGCAGCTCCTCCACCATTATTTTCTTGGGCATCTCAACGGTGCTCATTCTGGCCACATGCCCTGCCCACCTTAATCTGGCCAGTTTAATATACGTGACTACGTCGATGTCTGTATAAAGAGAACTGAGCTCCCTATTTTTTCTTTTCCTCCAGACATCACCCTCCTTTACTGGACCATAAATCTTTCTGAGGACTCCTCGCTCAAACACACTCAGCTTCATCTCATCGTTTTTAGTCATCGTCCAAGCCTCTGAGCCATATGTCAAAACAGGCCGTACAAGGGTTTTGTATATGATCAGCTTGGTCTTCTTTGAGAGATACCTACTTCTTAAGTGCCGGCCAAGTCCAAAGACACATCTATTGGCAGCCGTGATCCTTCTCTGTATTTCTTGAGCCATGTCATTTTTGTGTATTAATTTCAGACCCAAGGTAAAACTTTTCACTCTCTCAAACTTAAAAGAACCTACCTAAAATGGAGAGTTCAGATCCACCTCACCACCAACTCTCATATACTTAGTTTTCCTCTCGTTGACTTCTAGACCAAGTGGTCTTGCAGCTGCTTCAAGGCCTATAAACGCTTCTCTGAGAGCCCGTTCAGACCTACCTATTATGTCAATATCATCAGCAAAACCAAGAAGCTGTGTCAGGCGATTGAAGATTATATCACTGGTCTGAATACTGGAGTCTCTTACAGCTTTCTCCTCTGCCAAGTTGAACAATCGACAGGCGAGGGCATCCCCTTGCCGAACCCCACTGCTCACTTTAAACTCTTCGGAGGCATTAGAACCGACGCGTATTCTACATCTCGAGCTGTCCATGGTCATCTTGATTAGGCGTACGAGCTTCTGAGGGATGCTTAGCTCCTCCAAGGCACAGTATAGTTGCGTTCTATCAACGCTGTCGTATGCTGCTTTAAAGTCCAGGAATAAATGGTGGGTGACTACCTTACGCTCCATAGTCTTTTCTAGGATCATCCTCAGAGAGAACAGTTGATCAGTGGTTGAGCGTCCTCGTCGAAATCCAGCCTGATATTTCCCCAGTTCCTTTTCAGAATACGGGAGGATCCTCTCAAAAAGAATGTTAGAGAGCAGCTTATAAGCACACGAAAGGAGTGAGATTCCTCGATAGGATCTCACAGTATAATTTACAATATATATAGAATACGGTGGCATTAAACCCATTCCTGACTCTTAGGAGCGATGGATTTTGTTGAATGTGATTCCCATAAAAGGAGAGTGAATTTCAAGAAGTGATTAATCCTAATTTCGATCCATAATTTCCTACAACTTTTATAAAATTTGGACGTACGGGATTGAGTTATGGAACTCTACTAAACCATCAGATTCCTCTCGTATCCAATCCTTACAGTCCAAAATCCTCAATCCTTTGTCATGAATAAAATCATCCATAACGACCTTAATGTACTATATGTTTCCGATTTTGCTCAATCCAGATACCTCCATAATAAACTTCTGAACCCTCCGAACCCTCTAGTTTCTAACCTTACTTCCTCTTCTATTCCTGATAACCCCCGAGGATGGTCTCGGTACCTTCTGATGAGAAGTGAAAAACGACATTCGATAAAATAAAAGAATGACAAACCGACGAATTATATTATAATGATGAATTTTAGGAAATCTTATGAAGCGGTGCATGTTTGCAGGATCTTGAAAATGTCTCCTGAAGCCGAAATGTCAAATAAATAATACATGATGTGAAAACTGTGTACATTTGGCCTAATATTTCATAAAAAAACAAATTAAAATGTCGAGATAAGTTCTTACTATCTTCCCCTCTTCAAAATCTTATACCATTTACACTTTTATTTGCGGAAGGGCAATTTCATATTAAATATCAAAGATTCTGGATTTAGATGCGCCTTGGCAATGTCCGCATTATTTATGATTATAGATGGTAGTAATTCATCCAACCTTTGAAGTGAAAGTCTCTTGGACAATTTACGCTCTTTAAAGCAACATTGGCATATCTATCATGTACTTTAATCATTATTCGAAATAGGGATGAACAACCGCTCAAAAAAAGGGGCGTCAAACTCCCTCAAATTTGATTGTTCTTCTCTTTTTAAAAACTTTAAAAGTGAAAGTTGAACGATAAAATCGTTGTTTATTTACATTTTTTCCCTTTACCTCTGTCGTTTTTTATTTATTTGAGGCTAGTGACCATGAGTTGTACATGTATTTAGAACTAACAAATAAATAGTTGTTAAGAATTCAGGTGTTTATTTAAGAATAACTTTATTGAACTTATTTAGACTGAAGAATTAATCGTTAGAACAATGTATGGTATATTTAAAATCACATAATACACAATGACTTCTACATTTTTACAGTACAATCCTACATCCAAGACAAATACAAACTTTCCTCTTTGACTCAAAATTACCTCAATACACTCTTTTTATCAATATCCTCCTCCATGTACCTGCTCAACACAGATTAAAAAGAAAATGGTCTAGAGATCGGCTGCTTCACCAATAATTCAATAATTGATAAATCAAGGCCAATATCAAGAAAAAATCACTGAAACTAAACATTTACCATCAAATATGTTGAATGCGCTACTGAGCAGTATAATAAAAAAAAGAAAAGAATAAAATACAAAAATGATTATCGGATAAAAAAAGTAAATTATATTTATTCAAAAATATTACTACTTCATTTGTATTGATGTTTTTGTTTCAGAGCCTTAAATTTAGAAAAAGCTTTTTCAGCGTTTGGTCTATGAATCCATCTATTTGTCCTTATTATGACTAACTCGCGATGGCATGGACCGATACCGTTGTTCTTTATATCTGTTTTGTAGTGTGAAGCCCTGATGCATTTGACGATAGATCGGCACCATGTGTAAACAAGAGCCGCTTTGCAACAGAGCCAAGTTATGAAATTTAATGTGATTCATGGATGCCAATAGCTAATGGTTATTAAAGTGAAAAGCAATGTTGTAACGAAATATTGAATATTGAATAGAAGTCATAATAAAACACAGGAAAAATATTTTATGTTCATGCAATGAAAGTTATAATGGTGGGGAAAATATATCCAGGCCCATAAGAATTAGTGTTGAAAAAAAAAAAAAAAGTATTCATGAATATAAATTAAGGCAAAATAGTTTTAGTTACTATCTGTAAAATTGGTAGAACCAACAAACTTTTGCATTTAACTCTTCCAATTTTTCGTTCAAGGTTTAATTAGATTTCCCCAATCTGAATAATGACATTAGTATATCTAAAATATGTTGTGGTGATATTTTTTAAAATATTATTAAATTTCCAACAAAACTAAAAAAAAAATTGTCTAAATCGGACCAGTTTTAGCAAAGTTATAGTGTATTGAATTTTATACACTGATTTTAATAATTGCTCACTTGTTCGTTTACACTGCTTTAGTTCATTTAAGAAATCGTTCTCTAATTATTTTTCTGTCGATTACCAGGAAAAATAGTCTAATTCAGTTTTGTTATTTTTAATGAATACATTTAAAATTGAACAAAAAAGGTAAAATCGGTAGGAAAGTCATATGAATAGACAAAATATTTTTTTAAATTTAAATTATTGGTTACATTGTATAGACTGTATTTATTCTACAAATGTAATTGTCTTTACTGATTCTACTCTAGCTAGTGTTGCCCAAATGCGAGACCGAAACGAGTCTTGATCTTACAAACTCAGTCTTGGTCATGGTCTTGGTCTTGCGCAAGAGTCTAGCAACAGTCTTGCAGTTACTTATTAGCTTATTACTATAGAGATATTATTGTAATTTTTTAGGTAGGAGAAACCTAACTAAGCCCGAATGAAAAATTAGAGGAGTTAAATGCAAATGTATATTGGTTATACCAATTACTAACATATAGTAACTAAAATTGTCGAGTACTAGTAAACTATTTTGCCTTAATTTTTATTGAAAAAAAAGGCATTTTTTTTATCAGTCTTGGTCTTGGTCTTGCAACAGTTAGGCGGCCAAAAGACCAATTTTGGGCACACACTAGTGAGGGCCCATCACTATCTTTCTTGACAATGCCTTTAATTTATTGTCAAGTTAATTTTATTGATTTTTACCTATTCTGTAGCGTTTTTGAAATATCTAAAGTAACATGTTTAATAAATAGCAATGAGTTAATGGGTAACTGCAAGACTCGTGCCTAATACCAAGACCAAGATCAAGAATTAATTGGCAAGACCAAGTATCGTCTTATTCTCGCATTTGAGCAGCACTAGTTAACATGAAGGATTATAAAAAAAAAAAATAAAGTGATAATGATTTTCTAATTGACCTATTGTAATGTTATTTGTGTTTAACTCGAAAAGTATATTTTATAAGGAAAATACTGTATAAGTACTTGAAAAGTAAATTTTCAATAAGACGAAACAAAATAAGAAATCTAATTGTAAGTCAAACCATTATCAGTAAAGTACGGCATAACCCTGTTTAGTTATTCGAAAACATAACATTTGAAAAATAATTATTTTTTTATGAACCTAAAAAAGTAATGTATTGGACTTTGCAAACATAATTAGTAAGGAAAGTTGTGTAAGCTGACACACCAGATATCTTATTTCTCTCTTAAAATAGCCTGTATTGAGAATTTAGTGATTACAGGCTCACCCAACGTAGGTGGTCATTGAAAAATTCCCTACACAAGGAAGAATGTACTGTTATTTACACGTTAGGTGAATCGATTGATTTAATTTAAGTATCCATGAGTCAGCAATATTTGGCCAATCTCAAAGAACCAAGTTTTTTCTTTTTATTTTCTCTTTAAAAAAATATATGACAGATTGAGTTGTTTGTTTGAAATGTCTTAAACAATACCGTACCAAATTAGTTAAGGAAAATTTATCTGACCAATGACATGGACTTCTGGCAACATGTGCTGCTTCATCAAGCCAAGAAGATAAGTGAAGATAACAGACGTAAATTATATCAATTAAGGTAAGTTAGGTGTGACAGTGTCTAGTAATTATACTTGGATTCAGGCAAGGAAATCGTGTCATATCTACTGTTTTGACTGACTTCCAATTTATTGAGTTGGATATCTTTGTTTACAATTCAAAGTAAAAGAAAAACACGTTACCTTGAAATACACAAACTCTAATATTAATTTCAATATAATATCCTAAATTTTTTTTCTTGCTATTATAAATTTTATTCTTACTTTAATCTTTAATATACAAAGATATTTGAATCAGCTATAAGTTGTGAACTTGAATTAACGATATGGCATTTAAGTTTTTGAGACTTAAATTAGTTAATTTGCCATTTTGGAACGCATGAGTTCATTTTTCATCCTGTTCATCAAGAATGACGACATTGGCCTACGGCTAAATAAACCTGATGGTTGGCAAAATCGTAACCAACCCTCTCAATTCTTCAGTACAAATTCAGATCTATTAGAAAAAAAATAAAATTAATATTTTGAAGAAAAATAAAGTAAAAACATAACAGATAATTTATATTATAATAATATCAGTTGGTTTTTGAATTATTGTTTGTAACTGTTAATTTAATTTAAATTATCAATAATATGATAAAATAAAAGAATAGAGCATAGTAGCTCAGTGAGTTAGGCACTGAGCCGCTGAGCTCTAGCTCCCGGGTTCGAATCCGGTTGATGACAAGTCATTTTTCATCAGCCGTACATCGACCTTTGGGTCGGAAGATCCTCCTGGGGCACACCCAGCCCCTATAAAGTGGTTACAATGAATAAGCATAATTAATTCAGAAGGGAAACGCGGTTGAGCGTGATTCCGGCCTGATCACCTCCCTTTATAATCGTTGTTATTTCATAACACCTTCAAGACCTCCATGGGTTGTTATGGTACAGGTTAAAAGTAAAAAGAAAAAAAGAGAAAATATATTGGCTAGAAAATTCCGTTTTCTGTGTGGTCTCACTTCATTTATCGACCAGGTAGACCTGTAACTTCTATAATTATAACATATATAAATCTTAGTTATCGTTTCACTTCTAAGTCTATAATTCACAAAAATAATTTATATGATTAATGTGTGTCTGAAAAATGAAAGATTATCACAGGCCTATATTAAAAAAAAGTGGCTTGGTTGCCAGCGGATTTAGTTACTCATAATTGATCTTCATAATTTTTAAAAAAATACTTAGTATAAAGTGACAAAAATTAAACGAAAAAAAAAACAAAAAAATGATAATAAAGAAATAGTATGATTTAGATAATACCCCTTCTGAAATTAAGAGTTGTTCTAATGAAAATATTCATCACAGATTGTGTTCAAAGCCTTGATAAAAGAAAAAAAAAAAAGGAAATATTATTCATCAATATTTTAATTTTTATATATTCAGTGTATAATTCTCAAATATCGGATACAGTTATTTATTATTATGAATTAATTAGTATGAAAACCAGAATTGTTTTTCTCATCAGTCTAGTTTCTGCTTGAAGAGATTTCTTCATGAAATAAATCGTTAATAGTTCATATAAATAGATAGATAGATGAATAACAGATATGAACAAAAAAATAAAAACTACATCTGGCCAAAAATTACATTAGTCAGTATTAAAGAATAAATAGTATCTTCAGTAAAATTATTTAAAAATAACACCATTTTGAAAAAAAACAAAATAAAAAAAACATTATTTAAATGAAAAGAGCACAAAATAAAATAAACATGGGTTGATTATTAAAATTCTATCAATTTAATATAAACTTTATAAAAAAAAACTGATGTCTCTAAATTACCAGTAAATAAGTAACTAATGACTCTTATATATATAGGAATATAGGAAACCATGATTTTTGTATATGTTATGTGTAATTTATAATTATATAATTATCTATAAAGCATACTTATACTTCATTGTTTTCGGATAATATACTATTTTTGTTTGATTTGTCTTCTTTAGACTGTAAAATCGGTCTTGGTCTTGCACTTTGCTAGACCAAGACCAAGAGCGCCTAACTGTCGCAAGACCAAGATTAGTAAAAAAAAAGAAGATTTTGTGAATAAAAGTTAATGCAAAATAGTTACTAATACTTGACAATTTTGGTTACTATATGTAAAGAATTGGTATAACCAATATTCTTTTGCATTTACCTCTTCATTCGGGCTTAGCTAGGTTTCTCTGGCAGCAAGACTGTTGAGAGACTCTGGCGCAA